AGGCAACATTAGCATAAATTAGATAAATAGAGGGCGTCCTAACGCCTTACCATAATTTCGCCACAGTATGTATAAACTAATTGTCCATGTGTTTCCTTGCAGTAGTCCATCCACACCAAACTACTTTTCATGCGTATGAGCGAAGCGTCGTAGCATGAAACTTTTTTCCGTTGGTGGGTGAGTCAAAAACGTCTTTTTTCTTTTTTGCGTAGCCTTTTTTCCGTAGGTTGGCGAGTCAAAACATGAATTATTCATGAGGCCTGTTGCTCAACTGGAATAAAGTACCGAAGTGTCATGTCATTTTGAACCAGAAAGTACAGAGCAAACGAATGCGTGCGTGTTGGTTCACGCACTGCTCGCGCTAATGCTTTTACACACTAATTGTGCGCCTGACGAAGTGAATTCGTCATGCGCATTAGGGCGAGAACCAGCGCGTTCTCCATTCGTTTGCACTACTTTCTGGTTCACAGTGAGGTCACAATTCGGAACTCTATCCAGTTCGTACGTGTGACGTCACTTCAGTTTAAACCACGCCCACTGCACACGTGCACTGCACCGGAAGTTAACGTTAATGCGCAACTTTTCCGATCGTCCAATGGGAGCCTGGGAATCGTGGCGCGTCCGCCTTTGACGAAGTCACTTACGAACCGGATAGACCTTTTTACTGATAAATTCGTAATTATGCACGCATGTGCACAAATGGCCTTGGTGGCGAGAAGTGTGACTTGAGCCGTTTTCCAATACTCAACTTCGTCTCCGTCTCAGGCTTCGTGTAGCAAACCAATCCTCGATTGTGGGCCTAAAGCGTTTAACTTAAATACGGGCGTTTCACAACAGTGCGCCTCCAAGAGTTCGCAATGCATTGGCCAATCACAGTGCGCGAAATCTGTCGACCCAGTGCCCCTTTGGAAAGGGTCGACAGATTTCGCGCGTTGTGATTGGCCAACGCGTTGCAAATACTGTAATGTTTGGCTCTTTTGCATCTTACTTGATGATCCAAATTCGGGATGTCCCTCCTGATTATGGTCTGTCTTATTGGAAAAATCCCGTGGGATCACAAAATATTAATGAGCTCGTGCGCAAAAATACAACGAATTGGTGGAATACACCCCTAATAGAAAAAGGTTTTAGAACACTTGAGGGCGTTGTTTACAATTTGTGTGCGCACGCACGTACGTACGCGCGCGTGCAGCTATGCCAAGTGGCGTGCATGATTGATAATATGTGACGAAGCCGTTTGTAAGCATTATTTATCATCAGTAGTACACATGGTTGTGGTTGTTGGACCTGTTTGAACGAAGCGCTGTTGCGATAACGTTAGGCTTTTTGGACAACTAACAGAGAAATTATGGACTTTGTGATGATGCTTTGGTGGTTATTTACTTGGTAAACAGTAATGGCAGTCCTTTCAGGAATGAGGGGAATGTGGAGAGACGATGAATGTTGTCAGGTTCGGGTTGAGGTTCCGATAAACATGTAGGCGTAGGCTTAAATACGAAGTATATACTCATCAACGGTTTCTGACGTCCGTGCCGGGGGACGGGCTGAAAAGAAAGGCTGATACAACCATCATTGATGTACGACTGGACCACATAACACGACGGACGTATACCGATCGCTTAGAATGCGTGGAAGTTGGACATGAGTAATATAAAACTGGCCCCCTAAGGTGATCCAGTATTTACTAGGGCAAAGGCGAGGCCAAATAGAATGCTCATTTGAGGATTAAGTGTGCCCCCTGGGGGGGCCTTTTAATCGTAACTGCGTTACTGTATTGTACTGGGTAACGCCTTACTCAGTTGGCAATTACTCATCCAATCTAAATCTATAGAAGTATCTAAACACTATCTATCCCCCTCCCCGCAAACCCCCCCCCCAAAAAAAAACCAACAGAAATAATTCCCCTATCTTTTGTAATCGTGGGAGGAGGAGGGTCAACGCCCCCTCCATTACTCCACTGTTTTCCAGACTTTCATTATCTTCATCTTTTTTAATGCATTATTATGAATAAGCCAAGATATTGTAGCTCACTGCTTGGAGATGGTTCAGTACTGTAGTTGTTACGCATGTAAACAGTTAAGCAAAAAGGGGTTAACCACACAATATTTGGAGAATGCATTGTGAATATCAAAAAATCATGTGACATAATCATGGCCAATCAAGAAACACAATCCAAGGGATGTGTGATGTTATAAATAAAATCAGCTTGATAAGGAACGTGGATTGCTATAGGCACATGTTGCTTACATGCACATGTAGGAATGCTTTTGATTGGTCAGATGAAGTCACTGCATTTTATATTCTAGTGTGTGGTCAGAGTTTGCACATTCGCTTCACAAGTAACATAACCAGTGTTGAAGTGAGCTTACTGAGGCAGATATCATGGACATCTGAGCAAGTACTGTGTGACATTAGCTTCTTCCTCTCTAATAAACTACTGTAAACTGGATCTAGGCTTATTGCAATATAAGAATACAAACGGCCAGATGGGGCCATTGCCCTGCCAATTCCATTGTATTCCTATATTCAACTAAACCTGGATCTACCCTCAGTGAAACATTGCTCATACTGTCCTGTTTATTGTGCCAGATGACTCATTGTCTTTTAAATTTTTCATCATTTCTGTATTATTCGGTTTGGAAATCTGTTCTGAATTTTAACTTGCCCAATTACAGCTCAAAGGAATGCAAACAGGATATAGCTGTCATACAAGCTCACTAATGAATTCCATCATTCATTTCAGTTCAGAAATATCCATTTGGGATAGAGTAGAAGTGCAAATTCATTGAATGAAATAAATGTTCCATCAATCAAGTTTTTTTTTTCCTATGTAGGATGATTCCTTTGCATCCTGGTTTCCAGATGCAGGGTTATTGAAGAGCGAAAACTCAGGCAGAAAACGTCTGGACAAAAAAGAAGAAGAAGTCATGTCTTCGGATGATCTCCTACCAAAGTTCAAGAAGTTTGCCTGGGAGTATTGCTTCTCGGTGGATGTATGGAAGGATCGCTTGCCTTTTACTAGGTGGCTGCCTAAGTATCGCCCACAAAAAATCATAAACGATGTCATCGCTGGCTTAACTGTTGGATTGACTGTGCTCCCTCAGGCCTTGGCTTATGCAAACATCGCAAGACTTCCTCTTGTGGTAAGTCAGAGAAATTTGCTCTAGGTCATCATTTTGTAATTTGGTCAATCATTCACGTTATCTGATGCTAACAATCTGGTGAAAAAATAAGAATGACCAAATCTATTGAAATCAGCCGGCAAAATTCATCTAAAATGCATTTTTGTTTTCATGAAGGGAGAAATGTTTGGTCTTTAGAGATTACAGAAAGTATCAAAAACAACTCACCAATTTTTTGTGTTCATTCCGACTCTCAAATTATACACTAATGTAGCAATTTCATCACTGGCATGAACAATGGCAGCAGTGCATTGCCGATACCATTTTCCTTGTTTGTGAGTTTTTGAGATTTCAGGTGAATAAACAATCCATAAATTTATTAAAAATTGGGATTCAAAAGTGTTTTCTAGCAGGTTACAGTTTTTAAAAATTACTTTTTTTGTCAGTGTACTTTTAAATTAATTAATTCTTGAAGTTAATCTCCACACAATTCTCTGTTTGAAAAGTGACCGACTTCACAGGCAATTTTCACATAAGTTTAATCTTCATGCTGCATACAAAGCAAAATTTGGGACCTCTATGATCATTTGGAAATTGGATCAAAAATGCAGGGTTATTTCCCAAATGCAATGTAATCATTTGAAAAATGTGAAATGTTTGCAAAATGTATTTTAATTACTCTTTGATGAGGTACCAAAATGGCACCTTTGAAAATAAACTCATAAAATACTGTTATTATTACATGGCTTTAATTTTTCAGGCTAGTATGTCCATACTGTCCCTGAAAATTTCATATATTTCTTGCTGATATTAAGGATTATATTTTCATACCCAAAGAAAAAACATACAATTCCAGAATACCACATACTTAATTTTGTTCAGCCTCTAAAAACTGTATATTAGCACTTTAAGTGATGATTAAAACTCGTGAATAATTTGGAAAGTAGAAATGGGATGATAGTCCTTATTCACGATTAAAAACTTCAAGTTTATCAGTGATTTGCCATGGGCTCTTTCTTTAATCATTCTTTCATCTGAAAGATTTTGAATAGCTTGCTTACTTTTCATGTGAAAGAGCAAGAAAACCCAAAACCCTATATTTAAGAGCAGTGTGTGAAGGACAACAATTGTGTTCGGGTGGTTGGTTTTCCAAGTTTTGGAGAGTGAAGTTTACATCCTTTTGATTGGTTTTCACTTTGGCCAATAGTGAGAAACTACCATGAAATCTAAGCGTGAACTAGCTTCCACATTTTAAAGAGTCAATGTGGACAACTTTTAGTTTTTTTCTCCCTTTGTCTTTGTTAACTCGGATAATTCCAAAAATTTCTGAGTCTGAAAAATCGTGTTGGAGCTTCTGTAATCCCCAAATTACAACTAGGCCATAGACAGAGAGGCCGTTTTTTGGGTTTTTTTAGTTGGGCTTGGCACCTCTTTTTGAAATGGTCATGTGAATTCTAGTCCGTATCTGTTATTACAGGAATTAGGGAATTGTTTTGATCTGTGGAGTCCTGAAATTAAAATATGTGAATTGAAAGTCTGCAGAGCTTTAGCCTTGCAACAAATGCTTCACGAGGAAATGAGATTTTTTCAGCCATGTCCATTTTTTGTCTGACTGTCAAACGGAGTGATCCATTGTTTTTCAAGATGTCTGGTTGAGTTTGATTTTGTTTTCATGCCCAGCCATGTTTTGTATCTACCAGTCCTTCTGTCACCATTTTCCACGGCACCCTGGTCTACAAATCAAATGATCTTATAAAATCATTGATTTCAATGAAAATTAAAATTGTTGCAATTTTTTCAGTTTTTCAACTGATTCATAACGTTTCCAGCTTTTACACATTCCTCTCTTAACCCTTCAATACCTACAGTTGTGATTAAAAAATATGGGTTCACACTTGTAACAAGCAATCTAGGTTGCAGAATGTTGCTCCTCAGTTCAAACCATCTGTTTAAAAAAATTGGGGTTTTTTATTCAATGCATAAATTAAATGATTTCTAATCAGGATTTTATTTACCTTAATTTGAAAAGTCCACCTCTAAGCATCAATCACAACTATGCAAAAAAATGCCAGCATTGATTCAATTAACTGTTTTTATCTTTTCTATGGATTCAAAATGCTTGTTATCTCACTCTAGAACCAGAACATTTTCGAAATATAGTGAGTTTTAATCAAACTTGAACCACCAATAAGCTGAATACATGCAGGAAAACAGTATTAAAAAAGTGGCCTCTTATAATATACGAACACCTGTCAAGTGGAAAAGTAAGCAGGCTCTGATAGAAGCTATTGGTATTTACATTTAGACAGATCAATATCTGGAAACATGTCAACTTGAAAATGTTTCACATTGTGTCAATAAGAATGAGTTGAATGTGTGCATGAAGTGCTCAGTTTCATTTTGAAACTAAAATAACGCAGTTCTGTAAATTCTGTGTAAAAGGAGTGTACTCTTACCAACCACTGTAAGTTCATGGTATCGGCTGTAATTTGTTCATTTGGTCACATTTTATCTTCCCATCCCCAGTATGGTTTATATTCTGCCTTCATGGGGTCCTTCATGTACTGCATCTTTGGCATGTCCAAGGACATCACTGTTGGTCCTACTGCCATCATGTCGCTCCTGGTTGCAGACTATGGCAAACCCTTGACTGACAATGCAGGGGAAGATGTCCTGAATGACCCAAGATATGCCGTGTTGCTGGCATTTTTCTGTGGCCTCATACAGATTGGTTTGGGAATTCTACATCTTGGTGAGTAACTGACACAACAACATTGACAGATTCTTAGATTGATATCTGTGCTTGAAAGGTTAAGACATGATTAGGAAACTGAGACAGCTGATTTGGAATCAGATGAGAAATTTGCTTACGGTGCCAGGGACTAATTTTCCAGTCATTGTGTTTATTTCCAGCCTCTCCTAAACTTAAAAACCCATATCCTCTTATTTCATCAAAAGGGCCTAAATACACGAATTCTTCAATGTGTTCTTTTAAATATGTGTTTTGTTTTTAATTTCCTTATATTCTGGTTGTAAGTGGGGAGTAACGACAAACTGGAAATAATGGTGGCAGGTTTTGTTCCTCCATACAGTAATTATTGTGTGCCCTAAACGTGAAAGCCAAACTCCCCTTTAGTCACCTAAGCCTAACTCTTAAAAGAGTGGCAACAAAATTTCACTCTTGGATTTTGATTTGGATTCAGTTAGTGCACTGTCCAGGCCAACCCATATATTTGTAGACAGTGTAATCATTGTACCCAAACATTTTGAAAATGTTTCTGCACTTTTTCCACCCAGAAAATTGTTCCACACCTTTTCCCCAGTTATTTACCCATTTGGACAATTGTTGGAAGACAATGCTCAACTTTTTTTCTCAGAAATTACTTTGAAAAGGTGACGCCGAATTGTTCTTAAACATGACCCCCCCCCGGGTGTGATTTGAAAGCATTTCGGGATTTTGACTCAACCTCTGGATTTTTGAAGGTTTAAACATCCACTGGTTTTTTCTACTTTTTTGTCAAAAGGACCAAGTGAAAAAAATTCAATAATCATAACCATTTTTGAGAAAATCCATGCCTAGCTATAAAAAGCCCTAACAAGTTAGATTTGTAGCAGGGTTTGCCCTGCCTATTCAACTGTGAGGCAGCCCATCTCAATAATTGTTATTTTTACCACCTCGCACTTTTTGACAACGATGAAAGGAAAAAGCAAACTAACTTAGATACTTTGAGAGACATCACTTTTAAATTGTTCAGAATGTTAGAGAAGGTCATGGAATACAAGATCGGTTTATTTTAGAGGGGAAATTTAGATCAATTATATCTATGCTATATTATACAGAATTTATTTGAGACCTTTTTGAAAACACTTGCTTTTGTTTTAGGTAGTACAGTTTGGGCCAAATTTGTTAGACTTACTCAGTCATATCAGTACCCCTGGGGAAACCCTGATTTGTGGTGTTTTTTCTGGAGGGGGTACCTGACATACATGTGTTTGTCTCCTCCTCTAAAAACTTGATATATTTATAATGATGATATAATTTTATTCTTGTCCCAAAAGGATTGTTACCCATGTTTAAAGGCAAATTTGGCAGGTTATCTCAATTTACTAAAACAGTAGAAATAAGTAGAAAGATAGAGTTTTGCTACAATTATGATATTTATTTGTTTGAAAAATGTTGGAAATTTTGTAAAGTTTAGTCTAAATTGTGCTATGAAAAACCAGGAAATACCATGTCTTCTTATTTACAATCCAATATTGTACTGGTACATGTAGTTCTCAGAATAACACATTCTGCTGGTGTTACAGTCTTCAATGTCAGAAGTACACATTCAGCTGGTGTTACAGTCTTCAATGTCAGAAGTACACATTCTGCTGGTGTTACAGTCTTCAATGTCAGAAGTACACATTCTGCTGGTGTTACAGTCTTTCTTTTCAGAATAACACATTTTGCTAGCGTTACAGTTTTATAGTAACTTTGAAGGTCTCTAATGCAGCAGTTTTTACATACTGGTACTCAGAAAATTTAATTTTAGAAGAAGAAAAATTTTTAACAAAATAATGACAATTATTTCTCAAATAGGTAGGCCTACTAGTGTGTCATCTTATCAAAGGATGGATGGTTGACTTCGAGTGGGAATGTCATGTGAGCTGTGACTTGAGGGGGTGGTAGTGGACAATTCTCCATGTTTGTTAATGTTACACGTTTGGCAGTGTTCATTTCATTTCACTGGATCAGCATATGCTTGAAACTCCCCAGACTATACCTGCATTTTGCTTGGATCAGAAACATCATCTCTAACTTTTTTGACTGTCATCAAATTATGCCAGAAATTGTGTTCATAGAAGTTTATTCAACCTTTTCACATGCACATACCCGTAGTTGTTTTGTGGGTGCTTTGGTATTCAAACAGTTCATCTGCTTACTCCACAGGCTTTGTCACCAATTACATTTCCCCAGTGGTGATTTCTGGCTTCACCTCAGCCTCAGCCCTCACAATTGGTTTTGGTCAGGTGAAAAACATCCTTGGCATCAAGTTCCACAATGAGGTCTTCACATTGGATCTCATTAACATATTCAGACACATTGGTGAAACAAAGTAAGTGCACTGGGATTAGACCCTCAAGATCTCAGTCCTGCCCGTTGTATGTTAAGGCTAATCTTTATTCTTAAAAAAATATTGCTATACCATGAAAAAGGAGTTGGAGTTCCCCTTAACCCTAACAGTCCTCAATCCTTCAATTTCAATAATTTACAGTAGCATGTCATTGCGTAGATCCATTTTTTTTCAAATATTAGAGGAGTTCTGATGCACAGATAAAATACGAGGGTACAAAAATGAAGAAAACCTTCACACCTCATCATTCATAATTTTTCCTGAATAATCTAACATGTTTTCACACTTGAAATGTTTAAAACTTCCCAAGATATTGGACAGCCCAAATTTGCACTGAAGTCATTTAAACAGGTTTTCTCACCCCTTCCCAATTCTGGCTTTACAAAGAAAAACGAAACCAAAGCTATTTTATTTAAATGTTGTTATTATCATACTGAGCACAAACACACAAACAACTAATCAACTTTGCTCTCATTTTATAGTATAGTATGTCCTATCTCATAGCAAAAGAAAAAAATCCACCATTTGCCTAGACTGTCAAGACAAATATTTGCCTAAGAGTCCATTTAGCAAAATCACTCAATGTGTGTCCGGTATTCTTCCGAAGCCAAAGGGTGATCGGAACAATGATAGGGACGTCCCCAGGGGAAAACCTTTTGGGGTAGATCAGAGTAGATGTAATATTTATGTGGGGAGAAATGTCAGCAGATAAAAGCAATTGGTCTTTCCGTGCGCGCAGGCAGAGAATTACCTGAGTGTCCAAGGGTGCAAACACATACATGAACATGTAACTCTTTTAATGTGTGCATACCGGTAGCTCAAAACAACTATGACATGCAAATGGTATATGTGGTTCCAGAACATTTTGACCTCCTTTTCTTCAGGCAGTTGTGACTAAACAGGTACATGAATACAATTTTCAAATTGCATGCACCACTGTTTTTCCCTAGTTGGAGATCTGCCCCAGCCTCTGGTGTTTTTATTTTTATTTTTATTTAGAATTGCTTCCAATAACATTGTGATGCCTACTATACAGTAACCTGGCTATCTGCACTTTACTGTAGTACATGCAGGTTCGTCTGCAATAACAGGAATGTTTTGCTCTTTTTGACATTACAAATGCAATGGGTTGTGTGTAGGTAATAACATTCAATCATTTTTCTGCTATTTTCTTTTTTGGGGGGATACTTTCTTGAGAAAACAAAAATTTGGAATTTTTTTATATAACCTTTTATGGCCTTTCTGAAGGGTGAAGCAAAATCTTGGGGCTTTCTGCATGCTTTTGGAAGAAAAAGAAGTGAAAAAGTCCCGGAAATTGTTTAAAGTTTTGTTTTAATTGTAAAAAAATGTTTCTTTTTATGGGGGGGCTGGCCCAATGGTCCCCCCACCCTGGATCCACCAATGGACACAAGGTTTAGGAAACATAAAGTTCAGCAAGTCACTTCTCACCTTCTATAGCCAGTTAACATCAGATTTTCTCAACTGAAAAAGCTGATTGGGCAGGTTTTTTTACCTTCAAATTCTTCAATCTTGCCATTGCGCTTTGACCCAACCAAGCAGGACGCGTTAGTACGTCAAATGCCAAAATGTAACTTAACCCGTAAATGTTAATTTTGCTTAAAACATGTTTTTGATGAAATAGTATGAAACACTTTTGAAAATGTTGAATACACAGCGTGCAAAACAGCTAAAATTGAAATTTGAGCATGAGAATGCTGAACTTTTCATTACAAAATTCTCTCTGCTTGGCATGCAGAGAACATTTCCCCCAGTTTTCCCTGTCACTGTTTGAACTGGATTGTATGTTTACATTGTAGAGCTATTATCTAGCTATTATCTATATCAAACTACTAAAGCGCTAGCTTCTTATTCATTCCACAGAAAAAATTTAACACCGTCCTGGGTACAGACATTTTGAATCCATGTGCATTCTTGTAGAAAATTCAGCATCGAACAGACTGAATTTTGAACGTAGGCCTCACTGTGAATGCAATGCGCATCGGGAGCCTCCTCTAGATAAAAAAAGTCACAGTAAAATTATTTGCAGAACAAAATGAAATGCCCATTTACTGATTCTGCGTTCATGGTTTTGCGTTTCAGCTTTGTTGATGCATCATTTTAGAACACAGACGCAGATAAGCAAATAGCCATTCAAAAGCTGCACCAAATTTCCAGTTTTCCCGTAGGTTTGTGCACAAACATGGATGCGCTTATTAGGCATCATTTTGTACATGAGTTGGCATTCAAGTTTTGATATACATTGTACATGTATAGCTCTACATGTATATGGTTTGCATGCAGTCATTTGTGAATACCCAGATGTTGATGTAGTATGGCCTGTGTACAGCTATAGAGTCCAAAGTGCTTTACGTTATACCTGGGATGCATACCAGTTGGTATGAATGAACCAAATCAAATCATTATGGATGCCTGCCATATCAGAGATAAAACTCGTTTGGGGACTGCCCCTGATTATGAGATTATATTGCCCTAAAAATGATATGAATGAAGGGAAAAATTATCAAAGCTGTGAACTTGGATTTCAGTTTTACTACATTGTATGTTCTCTGTTCATTCAAAGGGGTCAAAGCACTTTGATATTACCCCTGATTGATATGCTTATACTTATTTATGAAGCATTTTTTTAACTCCCTGGCTACATATCTAGCCATATGAAACAACTTGAGCAGGTAACAACCTGATAGGTAAGAAATGTTACATCAACTCAGTGCACAAACTTGTACCTGTACAATGCCAAGGGTGGCAAATACATGTATGTAGATAAGGACACATGACCAGTTTCATTTGTATTATGAATGAAAATATAGACAAGATGGTATTTCAGAGAAGAATTGTTCTATTTCGGCGTGATGCACTAAGAACCTGGATATGCTACTAGTGCTAAACAGGCTGGGTCACCTTACACGTCTGCAGACTAACAAAGTTACTGGTGTGTAAAGGTAACTGAGATAGTTCCTTCATAAAGCCTCTCTATTATGTTGATGTACCAAGTCTACAAGGGCAAGGGGCAGTATCTGTGTATTAATCCCAAAGTTTAAGAATGGGAATGCAAAAATTTATGATGGGATTTACAAATGCTGTGACTGAAGATGCTGAGATGTCTGGTGTTAAAAGAACAGCCTACTTTGATAAAGAGCTATCTTACCATAATATTAACACAAATGGTGTGCTTCCATGTTTCTCTGGTAACACTGACTACGGCTAATGTGATACATTTGAAGCATTTTTAAGTGCAATAATTCAAAAAATATGGTGGGAAAAAAGCAAATAATTCCCAAAGCAAGCAAACAAAAGAAGGACATTAGCTTTTTACAATTTTACCTGTCCAGAGCGTTTTTGGTACAATGTGTGCACAGTTGGGAAATTTTCTGGGGATGTCCCTTCATAACTAAGAATATAATTACACAGCAAAAAGCTCTTCTTGCATTCTTTGTGAAAGGTAAATAAAATGCAGACAAATATTTGTATTCCCTCTGTGAATGTTTTGACAAAGCTTGGGGGTGGAGTTTGGGAAAGTCCCAACCATCTGTTGCCCCAGATATGTGACAAGTTCACGACAAAAGATCAGTGTGAATGGTTGTTTGTTCAGTAGTGTATATGTAAGAGTCTGTAACAGTCTGTTTAACAATAACAAGTATTGATTTTGCCCTAGAAGATCAAATCTGCTTTGCAGTAACAGGCTTGCTGGCCACACAGAAGGTGTCACTATCTTAAATTGGGTTACAGGGGGTGGCTGAAGAGGGATGTTATAGGCTGTCTGACCATATAATTATAAACCCAAAAACCCAACAAAATAAAAACAATAAGACATCAGAATCTAGCTTTGAGAACAGTTCTCAAAGAAATATCAGGCTTTTAAACTTAATAACAGTTTCACAGAGTACCAAAACGGTGGATTTGCTTTTGTAGAAAGCTAAAAAGAGCCATGAAGATCAGTGAGCAAAAGATGAGCTCTGACATTGGTAGGCTAGTCTGCCATCCTGGTCAGTGACATATGGGAAAATCCTTATTTTACTCTTTACCAGTGAAAATGGATTTTGCTCTTCTCCAGAATGTTGAAAGAGGAAAACATATTCCTACATTTTGACCTTGTAATTAAGATTCCTGACTTACAATTAGAGGGTCGGGGGGTTCGAATCCAGCTGCTAGCTATATGCGGTGTCCGTGAGAAAGCCACTCCAACTGCACTTGCTTCTGTCCACCCAGGAGTATATATATGTACATTAGCTAGGTAGCCACCTGCAATGGACTGGCATCCCATCCATTAGAAATAGAAATATTCTCTGTCTTTTCATGCTACAGAAAGCAGAGACAGACGTTGTACTGTTACTTTGCATTGACCAAAATGCATGATAACAGTGAAATGTTAACATATTAGCTTCAGCTACGTACTTTCTAGGAGTATTTTTTATGAGGTGCTGGCTATACTGAATATCAAATCTTTAAAAGTAAGTTGTCCTATTAGAGCAGAGTATATAGACCGATTCTTACATAATTTGATCAGCAACTGTACAGAGCTAAGAGTAAGAATTAGGATCATTTTCAACACAGATAAGAAAATTGTCAGTGACAGATTTTTAAGGTTAGCTTGAGCAACAAACGATGCTTAGCGAGTAACAGAATTTCTCTGTAACAGGTAACATTATGGAGATATCCAGCAAAGGAGAAGCTAGTATGTGCATTGAAGCTGCAAGTTTATTAGCAGTTTTTGAAACAATTTAGCCACAATTCTCCAATTATTGTTTCTCTTTCACCATGTTTCGGAACAAGTTGCAAACACTCAGAAAAATGGTTAGCAAAGGATTTTATGTTGTAATGCAATTAAAATCAAAGAAACTGGCTGCAAATGATCATAATTCATTTATACACAGCTGACTTCCAATTGGACTTTCATACAATTGTGTTTGTGAATTGTTTTCCTTTGTATTTGTTTTTCCCCTTACCAGATGGGCAGACTGTACTCTAGGTATCTGTTGTTTGTTGGTCCTTGTTGTATTGCGGGTGAGTGTATTGATAATGCAGGGATAAGTTCTCTTAAGGGCAGTTAGTTACACATGTCCTAGTGGTGTGCAGTGCTGGTGGTGATAGTCGTAAGGATAATGAAGGCATTTTTGTAGTGATGGTGTTGTGGAAGTGGTTTTAGTTATAACCTTTTATTTCACTTTCCTTTGGCAAAATTGGAAAAGGGAATTAAAATGGCAACACCAAAAAAAAATCAAATTTGACCATATTTTTCTGAGAACAGCAGTAGTGTCATGACTGTACAAATTACAGGAAGTCCATATCAAAACGTGATGATAACAATACGACAATCAGTGGCATATGAGTGGTGGAGGGGGCAAGTTGGTTCCCCCCTCCCCCAAGACAGGTTGTCTTTTTGCAGCATTACACAGTACCACCACCTTTTTGGGGAGGGGGGAAATAAGGATTCCTTTTTGGATGACAACAGTTGGAGTCAGAAAAATTTCTGTTCTGTTTCCGGACCCCCATACATGTATGTCTTAGGAGTCATTGAGGTGAATTGTGATTATGATGCTGCTGATGGTGATAATTACGATGGTGGTGATGATTGTAACTGGTGATGTACAAGCAGCAGTGCTAATTATAAGTACCATCATGGTAATGCATGGTGTACACATGTGTGCTGAGGATAATGTTATGTTGATGTCAACTAAAATAAATCGAACAGTGACTGACACCTCTTTTTCTGTTGCCCCTCAATAGATGTTGAAAAACAAAAGTCAAAAAACCCTGGACCAGTTCAACAGCTCATCACCATTGAAAAAGAGGGCAGTGTGGAAAACATTCTGGATCTTAGGCACAGGTATACTGTCAGTCACCTGAACGCAAAAGAATCCATTTCATGATTGTCATAACAAAATTAAGGCTTCTGATGTATTGCTTTGTCAAGAGCATGTGATATTCTTTCCATTGTTTTTGTATTACATTAGCTAGGAATGCATTGGTAGTGATAGCAGCATCAGGTGTGACATATGCCCTTATCCAGTATGATTATGATGACTATATAACAATAACGGGCAATGTGACCTCTGGCCTTCCACCTTTGAAAGTTCCAGACTTCCAGGCACCAGACATTTCAAAGGTAGGTCTGTGCATTACATCACCCTAGAGATAATTAGATACATTTGTTAAGAACAGTGTTTCTGTTGAATTGTCTTTTACCGATATCTGGGATATTATGGAGTCATTAATACATGTACTGTGGAGCTGTCCTCACCTTCAACCTCGTGGACCAGGTTCGAATCCTACCTCAGTGCCTGCGTGGATTGGTTTCTCAGTCCCTGATTCTGTGGTTTTTCCCTGGCCTGTTATTTCAGCCAGGGTTTTTCTTCCACCTCTAAAATTGAACGTACTTGCACTGTTGATGAATCTTTCACAGTGCCAGAAAGGAAACTACATGTTGATAAATCTTTCATACAGGAATACCTAAAAAATTGCTCTCTATATATTCATCATTATTCTTCTTTCCTATTTGTTTTTGTTTTGCCCACTGTTTCTGGTTACAACTTTTGAAGTAAAGCCTAAATTTATTCAAATTTCATTTGTGTCCAGGTGTGTATGAATGAAACAGGTAATAGTGGAGACATAAGCATCACTAGCTCTGAGGGGAGATGTGCTACAAAGTACATGTACATATAGGGGGGTAGAAAGGGCTGTGTAAAATAGAGAGGACTATATGCGCCATTGTTCAAATTGTCAACTTTTACACAAATTTGCTGAAAAAATGTTGAAGAATTCTTTCATTGGCTTTTATCTTACAGTACATCATTGGTGGCCTGGTCAGCATTCCTCTGATTGGTTTCTTGGAGAACATTGCTATAGCCAAAGGATTCGGTGAGTTTTAAACTATGAGCAGTACTTAATCATAAACAGCACTCAAGAAACAGGGTTCAATCTTGTTCAAAACAGTTCCCCAATTGATAGACAAATTATTTCTTAATTCATCCATATTCAGGTACCTAATTAGGAATCAGTTGTGCTGCTGTACTTCAGAATTCCAGTTCAGTGACAAACAAAAGCCAAACTGAAACAAAACAAACACTGCATTTTGGGGTATCTGTTTTGTAAGCAGTTGGAACTAAGTGTACATGCTATTGTTGGCAAGATTGCTGTATATTACCTTTAAGTGCAACGTTTTATGAGGTTCTTCAGTATATCTAATCTTGTGTATCTATCGGTACGTGAGAAGACTGAAGTACTATGATGACATCACAAAATCAGTGTCAGAGAGGCCAATAGTAAGCCATCCAGTTATTAAAAAAATCTCTTTTGGGTTAGACTTCTTTGTAACAAAGGTTGACTGGATTGCAACCTTGCATACAATTTATGAAATTAGTCTTATTAATCTGATTACATCACTGTTATTCACTGCAATTCTAACTGATATCTTCCCAACTTTGTTGTTCATGCAGCTCGACAGAATGGCTACAGAGTGGAATCTAATCAGGAATTAATTGCCTTGGGTGAGTAAGTAATAGTATTTTCTTACTACAAGACAATTTGTGATACTTTTTGTTTTGAGGGGGCACTTTTTGTGCACCTACGTGTAGATCCTTCTTTCTGAAAATATTACTCTCTCTAGATTGTCCTTTCCTTGTTTGCATGTTTCAGGTTTCTGCAATCTGGCAGGGTCTTTTGTTTCTTCTTTTCCAACAACCGGTAGCTTTTCACGGTAATTACCTCAGATATTAATAAGTACTATGTCATTATCTTCAGCCATGCCATCCTTAACTATATGCTGCCGGGTTTAATTTGAAGTTGCAAAACATATTCCCAGGGGATTTCAAGATTTTCCATGTTCAAAACTTTTCAAAAATTCTTAACTTCATTTACTGGATGTTTACACCCACATGAATGACTGTCTGGTGGCAACTCTAATCTGACAGGCAACACCTATTGACACCCGAGTATTGCAGCCAGGCCTGCTGCCTTGTAAAGAGAGCCCAGATTGTGGGGTGTTACGTAATTTTCTTTTGTTCTTGAAACTGGCCAAGTGCGCACTCTTTAGTCTGGAGAATTCAAATCGTGACGTTCACGTGAATTTCAGTTTACCAGATTTGACTCAAATTTAACTCACAACAGCTTATTGAGTAGGCTCTTTTTACACAAATTTTACCAAACTGTAATTTGGTTTTCATGAACTGTAACCAAACACTACATCAATGCATTTGTGTTGTTAAAGAATGAAACATTTCGTACTTCATCAAGTTAAGGTTCCAGGTACTCTTTTTCTTAACACCACAAGTACATGGAAGAGATACATGTACATGTTCTTTATTGTAAAACCCTTGGAAGCATTTTTCTCCAAAGATATATATGCTACAGCTTGCGTGTCAGTTCGTGAAAACAAAATTTTTCTACAATGGGCAAAGTTCGCAGTGCGCATGCACTCACTGTTGTCAGGTTGTGAAACAAAAACTGTTGAGTACGGTTTAAACAAAAGTCTGCACACAGAGCATGTGTTTCAGTTCATGAAAAAAGTGATGCAGTGATCTCTTTTATCTCCCTATGCAGGTCAGCTATCAACAGCCAGTCTAGTGTAGCCAGTCCCCTTGGTGGTATCATCACCGGTAGTCTGGTGCTCCTAGCTTTGGCTTTCTTGACCCCAGCCTTTTACTACATCCCTAAGGCTGCACTGGCTGCTGTCATTCTGTTCTCCGTTTTCTTCATGTTGGATTATGAGATAATCCCTCATCTTTGGAGAATCAGAAGTGAGTTCGGCTACTGATAGACTAAACCTGAAAAGAAAAATACTGTGGTGGCACCAGACTCACACAGGCAGTCTTTGACTTGAAGCACACATACTTTGGCAAATTACAGCAACTTACAGTTCAGAGAATTCAACATGTATGTAACACCTGCTCCTGAGAATGGTATCACCACAAGAAATACAATCTAATCCTGATGCCCAATTAGTTTATATAAATACACTCTCTCCAACCACTGATTATTCTGCACATTGATAAATGTATTTATTTTATCATTAGCAACTATTTTTATCAGCTAAGAGCCCCACCCATGCTACATTTACTTAGGCAAAATATATTGGTCCTCCTCTTTACGGGCATTTCTCCACAAAAGTCAAAATATCAGTTCATTACCAGTCAAGCTCCACCTGAAGTGCTCCACTTATTGACAGCCATGCTTCGCTCAGTAACAGTCAGACTCCCCTGACAGTTGTGCTTTGCCCATCAACAGTCATGCCCCGCCTAGTCACAGTGCTGCTGCACCAACACTGCCAACCAATTTGCACCTGTTTTCTCTCTCATTTCATTTTGTAGTAGTCTGCTCATTCATGGTATTCAACTCGATGTGCAACCTGTAGTCATCAGCCAATCACTAGCCTTTATTCTTGTCTACCCACATTGAGCTTAACCCATTATGATGTTCAGCTGCTCTCCATTTCTACATCCTAGATAATATTGGTAAGAATTTTTAAGTGAACATACTGTCCCTGCCAATTGTAGATCCTGAATATTTGTTATGTTGGTGACTGATATTTGTTATGTTGGTGACTGATATTTGAAGTGTTGGTGACTGATATTTGTTATGCTGGAGACTGATATTGAAACACAATGACTTTACGTGAACTATGTTTGCAGTCTACCCTCAGTGCTTTGTATTTCTTCCTCTCTTTTGTATGACAGAGATTATCTGTCACTGGCAACCTCTAATGGGGCAGCTAGTGGGTACCAATGATACAGCTGTACGTCCATAGCTTCAAAGATACCTTTTTTCTGATTCCACAGAATGGGAGCTGCTTACACTGGTGGCAACATTTTTCCCATCCCTTCACCTTGGAGTTGAGTATGGTACCCTTATTGGTATCGGAGTGGACCTTCTCATGCTTCTGTTTCCAGAAGCCAAACCGAGCTATAAGGTGCAGAGTTACAAATACTTATTTTTTGGAATATCAAAAGAACACCAGGCTACATATTGCCTGTTGTGGATGGTATTATTCAGTATTTTAACTTCCAAGCTTTGAGCAGAAAACACTGACTTTTTAAAATGACGAGATTACCACAGCCACAACCATTTGCAAAGTTAGACTTTACCTGACCCTGGTTTTTTATATGTTGTAGATTTGTGCAACATATTCTAGTGCATTGCCACTTATAATCGTTCTGCTGGTAATCTTTGCTTCAGTGCCCATGCAGTCATGGCACACAAACACTTGAAGATCCTGATCGAAAGTGAATATTAAAATTTCCTTTTCCAATGTGATCTAAGTAAAATTATCACAAACTGCTACAATACTATCCACTCTAAAAGTCCCTCTGAGAATGCAAATTACAGAACTTTTTAAGGGGGGCCCGGCCCCCCACTTCATTTTCAGGGGGGCCACTGCCCCCGGCCCCCTGGTTCCTACGTCCGAGGTGACAATGTGACATTCTGGCAGCTTTGTGTCTTTGTTTCCAACATAGTTTTAATATGCCTAACCAGGCACAAATAATGCAGTCATCAAAATTGGTAAGAAAGTGGCATTTTTAAAGTGTAGTTGCAATAAATTTTTCTTAGATACAATTTTGTGTGCTTCTTCAATATATCAAAAGTCTTTTGCATTCCCTTTTGGTTAAATGCATTGAAAAAAGCACTTTTTCAAACAAAGTCATCCATGCTTTCCAAGACAACTGAGGGCACTGTTGATGTGAAGTCATCTAGGGAAGAGACAGTTCAGCACGTAGGTTTTTTGTGTACAAACCAATGTAACATTGAGGCTTCTTCCTGATATGACATCACACTTTTGCTCATGAATATGGAAAAATACTCATTAGCATAGAAACCAAAAAGGGCAGTAAAACACCCTTTGAAATATTAAAACAAAAGTTGAAAATAAGATTAACTCAGACACAAAGGTGCAGTTTGAAGGTTTGTATTTAAAAATTGATTGCAGCTTCCCTTTAAGTATCTGATCTTGCTAAAAATTTGGAATTAAATAAAAGACAGGTTCCCCTTTCCAGTATTACGAAACCCCAGACTTGACCTCCCCTTTTATTTTTGACTTTGAAAAATCATAATAGGAAATAGTGGAGCGCAACTTAGCGCTCATTTTGTCATGACGGGTCACATTTCAATGGAGTAGGGAGTGTACATCAAATTCTCTTTCCCTTGTTTACTTCTAGGTTGAAAGGAGCGAGTTGCTAGTGATTTGCTTCAAGCAAGGATTGCACTATCCAGCAATAGACCGATTACAGACCATACTGGATGAGGAGGCTTTGCTAGTTGAGGAACCCAAATCTGTCATCCTGGATATGAGAAATATCAACGGAATTGACTTCAGCATTGCTGAGGTACAGTGTAAAAGCAAATATTCTGGGTTTTTCATACTGTCACAATGTGCCCTTGACAATGTGTTCATTGTTTTAATAATCCAAAAAGTCAAAAGTAGTACATCAATATTTTGTAAACTTCAACCATCTGAAAACCTTTTCCAGTTGATTTCTAGTTCTGTTTAAGTATTGGTGAACACTAAATAGATGAAAATTATCAATTAATTAAATTTCTGGTCAGTCTTCCTGTATATTGTTTTTCATGATTTATGTTAAAAAAGCTGTGTCCTTTCCGAGTGATCTTTCCTTTCCGGGTGACCCTTGTTCACCACTTCCCAGGTCGTATTCTGTTATTGGGGTGTTATCCCTGGCTACATGGTGTTTCAGGTTTAATGGCTTCTGGCTAGCACCCCCCCCCAAACAAATTAAGATATGACAAGGGAGAAGAGCCACCAACGTAGGGCTGGATAGCTCATTTGGTAGAGCACCGGTAAGGTATTCCGGAAATTGCAGGTTCAAATCCTGCTCATAAATTCCTTTATATTAAACAACTGCAAGTTGAAAAAATTTAACTCGAGCATTCAGCAAAAATGAGTTGTAAGATACCAGAGCCACCATGAGTCTTAGTTTGCAGAGGAAAGAAAAACTGAGCGTTGTTTTCATGTATCACTCAGTTTGACATCCTGATAGAAATAGCCACTATGTGGGTGAGTAATGTTTCCTACCAATTCCATTGTGCAAGATCCTTTTATATCGACTCTAAAGTGGCCCTGGCAACTTCAGTCTTGTCATCACAGAGTATGTACATGTAGGCTTACGAATGCCCTTGACCATACAGGCCATGGACAATAATTTGTTTGGTTTGCTTCAGGGATTGAGAGAAAGTGCCAAAGCTTTCATGAAGGCAGGGCAGAAAGTAGCTGTTGTCAACGTGAGAGTAAGTTTCCTGAGAGTACACTCTTCTGCCAAGTTTTCAAATGCATTACTCCTTTCATCAAACATAAACTGCCTTTGTAATAGGCTACAGGGCACATATAGCCCAGTGGTTATTGTATGTAACTCCCCAAGCTGGGGTTGGGGTTTTGAATCCAACAGATGGTTACATGTTATGACCTTGGCCAAGTTACCCCTACTTGCCTCTCTCCATCCAGGATTATAAACAAGCGCCCTAAAGGGAAGAGATATTTATTGCATCTGACATGCTCTTTGTGTCTGAATGGCTGCATGAAGCTGCATACTCTGACCAAGCTGGGATGGTTTCAGGAATGTTCTTTGGCCCAGTTATCAGAGATAATATCTGCACATTGATCAAGTTTTCATATACATATAAGACAGTCATTTGTTATCGTTTATGTTTCAACTGCAGCTAGATTTTTGTCAGTGATTCTTTTTCCTCGTCAGAAATCAGTGAAGACAATCCTAGACAGAGCAGGTGTCAAGAATATGCCCATCTATGAAACTGTGGAGATTGCACGGGATAGGATGGCAGCCACAAATCCAGAAACTGATCCAGCCGGTCAGTGCTGTACTATCTCACTGAAAAAAAATTGTGCAAGTAAATTGTGCAGAGTAGAGAAGTGTGAAAGTTCTAAAGAGCTCACCACCAGCATGAATTGCAGTGTGGTGTTGCAAATGGTACTGAACATGTTATGCTGTAAATTCACATATTCAAAACACAGCCCCAAAAAGAGAGTTGGGAATGGAGGGTAGATTGTTGTTTATTCCCCCTCCCCTACATTTTCTACCTAGGACTTCAATACTCTTGAAAACTTTTATCATTTCGCCTCTTCAGAAGTTTTCCAAATGTTTAAAGATCGTTTGGACATTTGACTCAAATTTCATGAAAGTCAAACATATCAAACCTGCAAAATGTCCATTTTCCCAATACGGGTGAGATACACACATTAACCTTCAAAACGGTCCACAAAACATAGCCCTTATTGGGTTAACCTTTTTTAAGCAGTGTTTTATGTTTATTTTCCATTTCTAATTGCATTCTGTTACTCTAAAAACTTGTTGAAATGTTTTGTCATTCCACAGAGCTGGAAGCGTTTGATACACCCTTGTAAAGGATCTCAGAAATTGGCATGATGCGGTGTCATGAAACTCCTGAGAATTTTTTGGACAAGTGTGTGGAGCACTTGGGACATGGGCTTGCTAAAACGCCCCCTGCACTGTTCAGAATTCATCAAGAAGCTACAAAGATACAAGTTGTCGTTAGTTGTTTGCAAGGTTTCATTTAGTGTCAAGAAATTTTGTGACAAGTTCAAAGGGTTTCTCTTATAGAAAAAGTACGAGCATTGGTGATACAAGCATTTTACATTACACATTCAGTTGTTCAAATGTATTGTTACAGTGGTGGTTCTCCCTCTAAAGACTGCCTTTTGGTTTTCTTATTACTTGATACAGAGGAAACTAAAAGGACATCAATTTGTTGTTATTCAGTCACTGTTGTTTTTTTTTATAAGTTAAAATTTAGAACTTTTTTTTTAGGGAGATGGAATGTTTTATCACAGAACTGAAGATCATAGTTTTGCTTTGCATTCCATTTGTTACTTTTAGGTTGTCCAGTGATTTCATCAGCTGCTCTTCACTATTTAATTTGCTTGTCATACAGTCGAAACTATCAATACTTTTGATTTACATGTACATGATGTACCAGTACATACTTTTTTGTATTAAAAAATGGACATACCAGTAGTTTTATTTCTCAGAGAAACTATTGCATTCTTGTGTATGTAGCTATGCTATGGTCACTTACAGTTTGAGCTGGTTTTACTGTGTCAAAACCAAACAATTATTTTCACTAGTAGGTTTAGATCTCTACAGTACTTGTCATGTACATGTAGATATAGTGAAATACTATACCAGAGAATACTTGCTTTTTTTTTATACAGACAGCTTCAGGGGGACTGCGCTCAAAAGGAATATCTTAGAATTTTTCAATATATTTATTCAGATAGTTCGGTTAACTCTGAAATCATAATCAATATTGAGATCCTGAAATGTCGTACATTTTCCTTGTAACTCAGTGCTTCAAAACTGAAATAGAAATTTTAAAGATCTGCATTGGTCTGAAAATAGATTCTTATGCTACAACAAGTTAATCATGCAAACTTGGTGAGATTTGAAAGATATACAGATACAGAGAGTGGTATACATGTATATATACATGTACCACAAGTTCCACTTGAATGATGAAGTACCATACACGTACATACCTCAACAAGGAATGATCAAGTGAAATTTTAATCAAAAAATTGCCAAATTGATAAAAACAAAGGAAATGCAATTGTTGATAAAATGTACAATATGCAGTTGCAGTCTTTCTCTGTATCTTACTTTGTGAACTAAATGATGACTTTATCAACCAAGGTTATTCTTGTTGCAAAGACATATATTGACTCTACAGAGTTGCCTCTTGATTGATGGCAAAGAACAACGCCCTTTATTGTTTTACAAAGGGTGAATTCTGAAGGTTTCCGTTGTATTTCTAGTCTGGTAATAACAAGATCATTATTGTAGCTTGACCCAGTAACTTTATGATGACTAGACATCAGAATAAATCCCTTTCATCTGATTGGTGGGACATTGAACACATGTCATGAATTATTTGGTATGATAAATGCTTGACTGTTGATCATACACGTAACTCATCACATATTGTACTGTGCACTCATGGCTGGTCCTGTTGTAGCTCTTCACACAAACACAATTTTCAGCAATACTGATAAACCTGAAACGTTAGTCTTAAGTTAGATGAACACATATTTGAATGAAGTGATCCTAATACTTTTAACAGTGTTACTATAATACTGATGTGAAAGTTTTTCTAAAAGTCAAGTTGTGGCAGTTTTATATCCAGACCTTGTTCAGAATTTTTTGCTTTACATGTACACGTACACGTATGGACATATGTGTAGTTTACTAATGTCTCTTTGGAATTTATATCGTTTGGAAAATAGAAAATTTGCACATTCACTATAAGAGTCTAAGCTTTAATGATTCTTTTGTTTTGTCAGCATCCCCTTACTCAGGTGTACGTGCTCATTCAGTGTACATGTAGATTCAAAATTGCACCATGTATCATTAACCAAGGCAGCCATCTTTATTGACCATGTGTGTGTCAAATCGCATGTAAACAAATCAAATACCCAACTCAGTTTCTTTAGTTTTTCTGCTTTATGGATTTCATTAGTTGCATAAGTCAAAGAGGAGTTGGGTCAGTCACGCAAATTCTGTTGTGTCATTTTCAAAAGTTTAAGAGTACCTAAAATTTGTTGAAAGAAAGAGGAACGCAATGAAGATTGCATGACATAAAAAGTTGGAGCAGTTGGAACTAGAGAAGAAATTGGCAGCGACTCGAGCTATTAAGCAGGTGTATGCAGCGATGGAGTCCGATGGCAACCAATCCATATCTTCACAGTTATCCACTGTCCCTGTCAATATGAACACATACAAATGTTTCTGCACTCAGGGAAATGGGAACACACTCCTTCATCACATTCATGTTACCCCAGTGAATGCAGAGTTGAGGACAGTACATCAATCACTACCATTAGTCAGGCAAGACTAAAGCTGCCATCAGCAGTCCAGTATACATCAGTCCCCCTACTCTAAAGACAGTGGATGGATGACAATCTTGTCAACCCTGGAGAAGCGTTTAATGCAATAAGCCAAGACCAGTAGGCAACAACCTAATGTCAACAAACGGCATGTTCCTTTAACTAGCTACTGTAGATAGCAATCCCAATATTCAGCGGGGATCCCCTCCAGTATTCCCTATGACGGAACTTTTTCAACTCCCTGATTAACAGCCAACCCCTTGATCCCAATACAAAGCTGAACTACCTCAATCAGTATGTGAGAGGAAAACAATGGCACCTAGTGGATTACATGTTCACCAGCTCTGAAAAGGCATAAGCAGATGCAAGGAACGTGTTCCCTTCACCAGTACACAAGGTCAGTGGCCAAGACTGGCACCAAGAGATTCATCAGGCCTCAGAGATTTCTCAGATTTTCTTGGGAAAAGGGAAGCAGCTTGAGCCACTACATCATGCCTAGGAGTGCTTGACCCTACAGGGGAGAATGCTAACATGACGGACAAACCAACATTTAACCTGGATATGAATTGGTGAGGCAAGATTGAAATCTGGAGACAGATTCATGGGCAGGATTTACTTCCCCCTTTCATAGCATTTGTGAAGGTTGATGAGACTGCAGCCGATAGTACTGAGTGTCACCCATAGCCAGGACAAACTAAGTCCCAGTACTGGAGACTGTGTCCCTGCAAAGCATGCCAGAAGTCACAACACAAGTTCTTTCACGACATTAACCAGAGTAGGTGAAAGGTAATCAAAAATTCCCCTGAGGGAGGGATCAATCTAAAGATGGCAGTTTAGTGGTGATGGTTCCTGTCTATTCTGCAAGAAATGCGTTTTTCAAGAGGCAACCCATCAAGTGAGAGAGTGTGACAACAAGAAAACTTGCTGCATTTGCAGTGGTGCCCACCTGACCTGCATGCATCACAGTTGTCAGAAGAATCATAAGAGCCAGCATCCAGTCAGTCCTCACTGGCCGGTAAACCCACAGCTCAGACTCCATCCACAAAAGTTGTCACGGTTCATTCTTCATGTATGTCAGAGGAGAGAGCGTCACAAAGCATCAAGGTTTGTTTGGATGTGTCACATGCAAAATTTGCCAACCAGACTAATGGGTGACAAGAACCTTCCACCCTATCCAGGTACATCTCCAACTAGTATAGGAAAACTGTGGAGCACTGATGATAGATAATGTGGGTGTAGCAGAAAAATTTGAGTTGTTTTTGTTATTTCATTCTTTTTTCTAAAGTTTTCATCACATATTTATTGATGCTTGTATGTAGCGAATGAAAGTTATTTGATCAATAGGATATTTCACCAGTAATCTGTTAGGGCGTCCTCTGGTGATACACAAACTTTTAGGTCAAGGGTGAAGATTCGTCATGAATCCGATGATTTGCAAGTACGTGTACATGTACCATAATTTGCCCCTTAAAAATGTAAAAATTAACAAGGTTTTAAGGTCCCAATTTTTGTCACATTTGGTTCAAGATAATCGGTAAGTTTGTAGATTTATTTAAGGTAAAACTTATGATAAATTTAAGGGATTTGGGGGTGAATTCAGCAGTTTTGTGAAAGATTTTGTGCATTTTGTGGTTGGATAACTCAAGACAAGTTACACGTTAGGACACGAAAACATTTACCTGTGTAAGCAAGGTGCGTACCTGTATTTATTTTCCATTGGTCAATGTTTTATTGGATTTCTTATAATTGTTACTAAGTTCATGTATTAACGTTTGTTGTTGCAGTCAACCACGAACTGTATCATCACCAATCATCATCAACAAATGTTCACCAACACCTAATCTTCACTGGGGTCTGCCTACCATCAACTTAGTCAGCTGTAACACATAGTAATAAACAGTAACTCCTGTCTCCTTAAAGGTGTTAACTCCTGTTAATTAGTTAAAGGTGTCAGACCATATGGTGCGTTCATGATGGGACCAAATTAAAGCTTATGTAGCAATGGTTTCTCAGGCTACTGTGTGGGAAAAGTAAGAAAAAACAGTGCTCACTGGTTTGTGCAGATGCTGAATTTTTGGAAACTAGTGGTTTGAATGCAGAAAACTCTACATTCAAACCGCCAGGCGTCAGTGTTCCAATCCAGAATATGATGCGCTGTTCCGTCTCCAGGTGTCGAGCATCTGATGTCCAACCCTGTATAAACTGCTGAGCACTGTTTTTTCTTACTTTTCCTCCGCATTACGTTGCATCTCCACAAGCTTGAAGTGCCACAGGCTGTGTGCATGTAGATGACTGTAGCGGCAAAAGATTTACTGGAAGATTGTCTAGAGCCAGCTCTTCCATTAAATTACTGTGTGGTTCACTACTTTGATCCATTTTTGGTCCAAGGGCATAAGAGTCAAATTAAGCACCAGTGAATCCTGTTCACTTGAATGGCTTCCAGGACCGTTCATCTTGAAACAGCAAATTCCTTGACAGCAGGTTCCGTCATCAATGCCCTCAGAAGACCACAGCAGGAGAGGCCACGTACCTCAACTACGTATGTTCTGGACCAAGGTCAACATTTATCAGTGCTCAAAGTGAAAATACCCGAGGTGGAGCAGGACCAAATCAATCATTACCTGTTAGAAAGAAACCGCACCTAGATAACCTTCTTAATTGAACATTACACATGATAGTCACATGGGAGGTATGTGGGAGAGGCAAATAGGCACAGTGCACTGAATGCTAGATGATGAATGTGTCAGCACACGTGTTGACACCTGGTCATCTTTTGACTATGAAACCTGAGGTAGTTCCAACTCTGCCTGGAAAATTCCAGAAGACATCTATGTCCACAATGGAGACATGCAAATACTTGACCAGTGAGTTTTGGGTGCATGAGGAGAAAGGAGTTCCTGCACCAGCTTCAAGAATGCAAGAGGGGGTCACTCCAGACAGAGATCTACAAGCAGTTGGTGTTGTTTTATCTAATAAAGAAGGGAAGACTAGGAACCAGTGGCTACTGGTACTGGTAGTGGAAACCCACCTGACTGATGACGGACAAGGTCAGTAAAAGCTCCTGATGGCTGATGGCACACGAGACAACCTTTATAGGCAACAACCTCCAACACTTTCCATCACTCTTTGACAGGCTTATACACAAGCTTGTCTTGCTTGCGCTCACAGAGATGCTAGAGACTACAGAAATCAGAGATGTCCCTTCCAATGAGTCAAACTAAGGATCCTCCAAGCAAAGACCCTGCAAACAATGATGATGAACCATTCAGTGCATGGACATTTGGTTTACTTGTTCTGTTGTTTATTAATGTATAGATTTCAGTTTCAAAGAGTCAGCTGTAGCTTTGAAAGTTGGTGGAACCCTGGAGCTATTAATGACTCCATGGTGGAACCCATGTAGAACAGAAACAAAAGAAACAAATTACTTTTTCAAACAATTCCAAACCTTATACGACACACTTGACTATCTATTTAATCATTAAGTCTAGACACGAAAATTTCTTGTCTTCATTTCGCATTTGTGCAATGGAAAAATAATTCATTCAGTGACAAAGTTAATGTTTGATTTCACACAGCTGGAATAGACCATCCAATCAGTCACCTTGTGAATTTACTCTTACAGTGCACTAGAAATAAATATGAGGTACATGTAGGATGGTCTTAACAGTTAAGAATGGACTAGGAGAATGGATGCTGCTAACTGATGCTAAGGCACAGTTTTTATTTCCATTTAGAAATACCTTTTGGGTAACAAAGTCCAAACAAGTTTTGAAAAATTTATACCAAGATGAACGTTGTGTTTGTCACGAGAACTGTTTTGGTTGGAAATGAGGCTGAAATCAGTAGGAATCAAACAGTACTTTCACAGTCCAATGTTGAACCACGGCCTGCTGAGCTTCTAATCTACCAGTTGAAGCAGGCATGCACCAAATGTGCTAATAAGCTGCAGTCTACATAATCAACTCCTTAGATGTGCTTCTGCCATAGAACCATTGCGTATTGGTCAAACTACATCACTGCATCATCTGTTGAAGCTGCCAGCACCTGTTACAAACTTGCATGGAAAGGAAAACTGAAGAATAGAATAAGAACAAGAAGCTTGAAAGTTCCAATTAAACTTACAACTCACCCCCTGTGATACAGATCACATCAGAATTGACAAATTTTGGGCAGAAGTACATGAAAGTGGAGAATGCTCAAATCTCAGTAGAATGGACCAGGCACTGTAGTGCTTGCTTTCATTGCCCACAAATTGAAAGCTCCGTTAGTGTTATCAAGGATGTCCTTGAAAGCAGGAAATTACAGATGCAGGTGATGACCACCGTTTCTGCCATTCAAACCATCAAATATCAACTCGGCAGGAGTCGTAACATGACTGCTCTTCAGGTTTTCTCCAGACCAGATTACCTGCATGTAGATGTACATGACAGAGTTGACTCCACTCAGCAAACATATGAAAAGAGCTTACAAGTAGGAACCAGAAGAGAAAAAATCCAGCTTCTCATGAACTTGAAAAGAAGAGAAAAGCTATTGGAACCGGTAACTCTACACTCATGTCCAAAGCTCAAGCAAAGAAAGAACTCTTTGCTTCTGCATCAAGAGCTAAAAGCAATCAGGACAAAAGGGAAACACCGAAGTTTTATATAAGATGAAGGAAGGCCAGTTTTTTTAAGTTTCTCTGTTCTGCCCTTAGCAAAGCATAAGGAAAGATTCACTGTAGTAGTACAACTCTTCTGTACTTTAAGATCACTGAATAATTACATGAATATATTGGGATCCCAATACGAGCTTTTAGCGTCGATCTGCGCACTTCCGCATTTGAAAACGAGGCTGTATGTGTCAGCTTCAATTCTTAATACGATCAGACGATTGAAAGTAAGGAGTCAAGACACAAAATACATCACGGTATGTTAAATTCAGACTCTTCAGGCTGCAATTTTGGGGGGAAAGTCTTTCAGGATGACTCAACATGTACAATCAAAAGAGAAAATAACAGAAATTTACCAAAAACTAACATACCTGCAATGGTCGTGTATCTTGTGCAGTGGGCGTGGTTTAAACTGAAGTGGCGTCACACTTATGAACCGGATACTGTATGTAATGTGTGGACTCCGCTGGTGCATGAGACAAAGTTCAACACAGAGAGCCTCGGTTTCGATGTGGATATGCCCAGACGGAAAACCATGAAATCCTGATTTCATGGTTTTCCACTTTTCATTAGTACCACTCACATGCCTGATTTATTAATACATGTTAATTCTTTGTATTTTATCCTGATCAAGCATCATCATGAAGTTTAATCTTCCTTCAGCAATATGTCACGTTTTTGCAAGTAAATGTACAGTACAAGTGCATTAAGCCATCTACAAAGCTCTGTAGGAAGGTAGATTGGCCGTACAGGAATTGGAGTAGCAATGTCACTTAGGATAAACTAAGAATTCCTCCAAATTAAACATGAGGACCAAATCAAAATGGACAAATTGTTCAATTCAGACAAATACTTCACATTGCAAATCACAACGTACATCCATGTATACAGATGCACACATAGGGGGAATGTACAGCATTACACAGCAAACATAAAAAAATACTTAAACTACACAATATGCATGTTGTAAAGCATGAATAATTTTTCCCTGTGGAATAATTCAAAACAAATGTGACACAATAAAAAGTATATTGCACAAATTATAATCAGACACATACACACAAAGCACACCCATTCTTTACAGACACTTCCTGATTTCTCTGGCTGTTCCTCATCATTTTGAAGTGGGTAACTCTGATCCCAAACTCCTCTAAAATTGTCCTTGAGAGAGGGGCAAACATCTGGACCTCTGAAAGTCCACAGTTGGCTTTCAAACCCTACATTGTGTGGACCTGTTTTTTGCAGCTTCACACACACAAGGTGTACAAATCAAAACTATCTAGTGACCACAACCATACACAAACTCTGCAGCGACGCAATTCCTCAGAACAAGAGAAGCTTCTTATGACAAATAGGCCTACTGTGACAATTGGTCCATCATCGCCCTCCTTTGCTGTTCGCTGCCAGCCACTTGATGACATCGCTGAGTCCCTGTCCATCCTTGGCACTGATTTCGAGCACGGTGATCGGCTGTGGGGCTGTATTAATAAGGTCATCCAGTCTCAACAGGTATCTCAACTCACCAAGGGGCACTGTCAACTGAAGGTCTCTACAGTAGAGAAGAAAATAAAAGGATTCCAGTGCCTTTCCAAAGACTATTTTCTTCTGAGGGTTTTTAGATCACCTTATCCCAAAATGGCTCTGAATGGGTAGATTCCATCCCCTGTATGTTTCTTCTGTTCTTGTTGCAACACTTGTTTTTTAACAAGCCGGAGTTTCCCACTGATGTCTTGTAGCCATTTAGAAACCAAACAGTTCATTACATGTATATAAAATCTGATATAGGATACCAGTCTTGCATCATAGGTACTGGTACTTTTCCCATTGACTAAACAGGCTGATGGAGAATGATTTATAAATACAACTGTAATAATGAAGCTCTCGTCAGATTGAATTGATACAAAATGATACAAAAAGATCTGTCCTCAGGCTGTGAGGATGGGAAAAAGAGACCTTTTTAGGTTAATTTATGAATGTGCATGTATGGTCTCAATCATTTTGACATAATCAAGAATGATGAATCTTTTGTTGCATGTGATTAGTTCATGGCCTTTTATGAATTTGAAAAGAACACAATACAAACTTCCCTGCTGTGAAAAATATGAGCCTTGGTTCAAACAATGTGGAAGTTGAAACATGGAAAGATGAAATGAAGAGACTTGATTTGAACAACTTAGCGGTAACTAATTTGAATCAATAATGCCAGACAAAAGAGTAATTTTGCTAGACTGCATCACAAGTTCACAACTGTAGCTGTGCCATACAAGAGGGTCCTTCTGTTTGGCTTCAATACTGACACACAGACTTACACTTTATTAAGAAGGATGAGGACGTTGACTTTCTGCATCTTCTCTGACTGCAGTGTGGTCAGAAGCTGGATGCAAGATGCAGACACTTGACAGGGATTGGAGGCATCAATGACAAACTACAGTAACAGAGAGGAACCACATAATTGACAAATAGACGACAATAGATGACAACTGCTATCAAAAGGTTCATCTCTGGAACATGGAGTGGGCTCATTCTGGGCTTGCATCAATTACAATAATTCCGTATTTCAAAATTTGACCTTCCATTCAATTGTATATTCAACTATTCTGTCAAATAAATACAATTCATAAATACTTTACACAGTTCCATATTCAACAAGGCACAACATGACCTTGCATTAACATTTGATAATGCCCGCTGAGAAGTGATAACGATTCTACATAAAAACATGCTGGCACCTAGATACGAGGACAGTTTGACCCATTCGTATTAGTCAAGAGTCTGTGTGTGCTATGGCATGCAAAACTCGCCATGCACGTGCCATGTGCATATACATTGTACATGTAACTTCTGGACTACTTGCACAAGGAACATACCATAAAATAGACAGCAGTGTTCAGGAAACTGAAAGTAAAATTCTCGAACAAAATCCTTTGAAATTACTGATTTCTTTTGACTCTCCGACTAAAATGGTATTTATGAATGGAAATAAATACATGTATGTGCTTGGCCGATGTTTAAGACTGGCTCAGGAGAAAGAATGTTGATAAATGCCCTTGCCTACGGCTTGGGATTAGTCACATCCATTCTTCTGAGCCGGTCTTAAACACACATTTAAGACCAGCCAAGCACATTCCTAAATTACCAGTGACATTGGGGAGAAATAGCATCTTAAAGTAACAGGAAAGTAAAAGCAAACAGCATTAAATGTTATACAGCATTTTTGATGTGGAAAATGTTCAAAATTAGGTATATTTGTCAATTTTTGAAGTTGCTGACATAACATTGTTGGGCATATCAGCTACCTTAACGTTTTATGCAACACCTTGAAATAAAGTTTTAGAATGCAATTTTGATACCAAAAAAGTTGACTTTTCCAATTTTGTTTCAGTACATTTTTTTACTTGTTTGACTTCAATAGTAAGCATTCAAATACACTACTGTACATGTACTTGATGTTCAGCTGAATATCAACGAATATACTGCACAGCACTAATGTGTAGGGAGACTGGTTTGTCTCAGTGATCACTAGTTGAAAGCTGGTTGCAAGGTATGCTGTGCAGATGCCTTACTTGCCTTACTGTCATGACTCAGGCAAGAAACAGTATTCTATGATGTTTATGATGGGAAGGATTAGGAGATCATGCAGATCAAAAATGCTTCTCTACTGACCCATCCAGGAGAAAATCTCTTGACTTTACTTCCCCTTTCAAAGCAATCTTCAGATTGACTGACTCCTCGTAGGTCTTGTGACTGCTCAGAACCTTTCTGATTCAGACACAACATTCTGATGTCACAGGAATTCCCTCGAGTGTCCGACTGTCATTAAACTTCCAACATTTCTAAGATTCCCAAACTGTGCCTTCTACAACTTCTCAACAAATCAAAGACCACAGATGTAAATAGTTGATTCTTCATTTATCGACTGCACAGCATGCAGACGGATGGCATATATTCTATTTACAGACCATCATGGAAAATTTTCTGTATTGGTTTATGAGAGCGGACAAGGCAGTCCATAGGGTTCCACTGAAGTTCATTTAAATCAAATATTGTTCAATAAAATTCATCCTTTAAAATGCAGTGGCAAAATTCTAAGCATCCCAAATTTCTTACCATCAAGGCAGAGCAATCAGAGAAGTAATTATACCAGATTGGTGCCATGGCTCCACCTAGTTCCCTTATCGTCACCTCATTTCGCTTGCTGACATTCACATTTACCAAATTGGTACCAACCTATATGAATAAGAGAAGACTATGCTTTTCTCACACACGTACATGTAGAATGAAGTGTTTAATTAGTAAAACAATAGTTTCTTCAAACCTGCTTCCATTTTTTCCCACCACAAAATGTCCACAATTTTGTTTTAGGTTTTTCAATTTCTGGGGTCTAATTTGATTGATTTTTAAAAAGTCCATAAAATAGACATTCTTCTTCCATTGGCAAAGAAATTACACTTACATAAAATCTTAATACCATGATTTACAATATAGAGATTTAGAAAAAATAAGTTGTTAAAATATTAAAGATAACTGTTTATTTTCCCCAATATTAGTGGTGGTTATACATGTGACTATTAATGTACAACAAGAGTAGTGAATTTGCGTACAGAATTTGGAACAGTAGGCCTATTTTGGAACATATTTTGATTTTTGGTGTCCCAGCAAAATATTTCTGGTATCAATTACTTGAAGTTGATAGGCTATTTGACTCAAAGCTTGCGGAGTCAAAATTTATTATCATTGCATATACTTATACTCCAACTTACTGTAGGAATTGTTGATGGATTGTCTTCAGATTCTGATGTAAATGAACCTTTACTGGAGTAATGTAAAAATGAAGTCAAGGAGCTGTCACCAAAATAAAGGGCACTATTAAAACCAAATAACCAGCAGATTGCATGCTAGAGTATGACCAAGCTGTCACATTATAATTCTTCAAATTTAACGTTTCTGGGTACTGGTAATGCTCGCAATATAAAAATGATCTAGTAACAAATTGTGATGTTCTGTGCAAGGCAACAAACCAGTCGAACTGGTTCCTAAATCAAACGATACATTTTGCTAAAACTGTACTTGCACAACTGACCACATGCAGTTAATTTTGGAGGACTTTTTGAATTTTACCTCACCAAATCTTTATTTGGCATATTTGGTGCCATGGTTGCATTGTCAACAACAAAAGCATGACCTGAATGATCAACCTGCCCCATACATGTACATGTATGTAAAGTACAAGTAAGTAATGCAATGTATAAGTAATGTAATGTACATGTAAAGGGAGAGATGAAGAAAGTCACATCCTGACAATGTACAATGTGGGGAGTCAAGAAAATATTTCAACAATTTTCCAACCAAATAGGAAATTTCTCTCAGTCCCAGATTCAGGTTAAGTTCTGCAATGGCTGACCTTACTGAGATGACATACACAGGGGCGGATCCAAGAATTTTTCTGGAGAGGAAGTCAGGCCAGAAATTTTTTTAATTTCTCATTTTTTGCAGACATGACACACCTTGTTTAGATTGGTATTAGTGCACTTACTTTAGTTATTTCTATAATTTTCCCCATTTTTTTTACCTTTTCTTTGAGAACAGGGGGTTGACCCCCCCCCACTTTACTTCACCTGGATCCGCACCTAGTAGGCCTAGATGCAACATTGGAAGTATGCCTAGTTGGAGAGGTGGAGGTAGGATGCAACATCCTGATGCACATCAGAGATAGTGCATATTGACTGATCACGCCACCACAGTTCATGTAGCAACATTTCCTTAAGACTTTCACTCACCCCATGCACAGCACGGCCAGCCACTGACATACATGATTGCATGTTAGCATTGACATTGATTGAGCGTGCATGTCATGCATGATGTTGAGCACAAAAAAGGATATTCTGAAGACGTTTCAGCAGCAGAGTTTTTCCAACTCCTGTCATCCCAATGATTAAACACATATTTTTGTCTTTATTAAAATAAACAGGGGTAAGTTTCTGGCATGTCTGATTCCGGCTATGGCTCAGTGAATTACTCAATCATGACGATGCGACATGGAATTGGACTTCTTTGCCATGGGCAGCGCCATATTGGAATGACGCTGAGATTTATGGGAATCATTCTTTTGTGCAAGCAGCTACGGCTGTTCGATGCTGAAGATATTCATAATTCTTGCCTCGGCCTCCATGATGATGGTTAGACCTCGAATTTTTCGAATTCAGTATTATATTTCTCCAAGATGTGCAAAATTCAAACGAAGAAAATAATTCTCGTTTTTATCCAAAACAAGTTGTTTTCGTAGGCCTATGCATGGGCGCCTTCATTTTTTTGGGGGGGGGGCAACAACTTTTCACAGGGGAATAATTTTCCGGGGAGTTGCCTTTAATGTGTTAGGCCTGACACAGGGGCGGTCATGGAAGGGAGCGAGTTTGAGGTTTTTCCAAGCAAATTAATGATTTTTTTATCAAGCCAAATAGTGATTTTCATCACTTTCATCTCATATATTCAATTTTTTCTCAATTTTTCATTTTTTGCCGGGGGGGGGAGTGCTCCTTGTCCCCCTCGCAAACAGGTACAGCTTTTTAACAAGTAGACCCCTATCTTTTAAAACGCTTTTCATTTGCCAGGTGTGATGTGAACAGGGATGCGGGAAAAATCGTCATGCCGAAATGTCTCATCGCGCCGCCGTCGTCTGCATCATCATCATGCGCGACCGGCCGACATGGCCTATATCGGGTCAATGACGTAATGTTTAGCTGATAACTTTTCATAGGTCCCGTGTTCAAATAGTACCAGCGACCCATTGCTGAGCGTGTAATAAATTTGATTGTAATGCATTGAGTCTGTCTCCTTGTTTTTTTGCTGAACATTTTGGACGTTGATTCTGAGTGAAATATTCGCCTTATTCAAAAATATTTTGTCAGAACAATTGTATTATAGAAAGAAAATCTTACAAGACATTTAACAACAGGTCAGATTACAGTGAACATGTTTTCATCGTCAGGAAAAAGTGGGTTCGACAAAGCCTTGGGTAAGTGGTCATACCGTCATTTGTGTGGTAGTGTTTGGTACAATGTACTGTCCCAGCTCCGTCATGTCCGTGTGCCTTACACTGAAGTTACAGTTCCAAAATGTCATTGCTTTGTACTGCTGAAATTGTAATTGTACGTGCCTGGTTTCACCGAAACGTTGGCCACCAGCTGGACTCGAACTCCTGACCCTATGATCAGAAGCTACAAACCCTAACCACTAGGCAGTATGCCTCCCGTAATATCACCTTGAATATATTCACACATGTTTTCTACTCCTGCTGTCCAAAAAAGATACTTTGTTTAGTTAGTAATTTGCTGTGTAAGATAAAAATGAAAATTGTTGTGTCTTGTCAGATATCCACTGAAACACGTAATTGTTTGATTATAGAAAAGGCTACAAGTTCACTGTTGTTGGAACCAGACTGGGATGCTACTCTGCAGATATGTGACTGTATCCGGCAGAAAGATGTTACGTAAGCCTGACATTGATAATAATATTCAAACCATGAAATTGGTGATTGTATGTACATGTTTTTTTTATGTGCGTGTATATGGTATTGAAACGTGCTGTAAGAATTTCAAGAGCTTGTTTAGTTTTGTTCAGTTTTGCTTCACTTTTTTTGCATTTAATATTTTTAGTATCTGTACTGTTGATTGTACATAGGTCTAAGACCTGACTGAAGTCACTCAGAATTCAATGTTGATTTCATTATGTTGACTAATTACTCGAGGGGACAAAAATTGCATGTTTAAGGTAGTCTGACTTCATACCTGGATTTCCTGTGGAAAAATTTCCAACCTCAAGCTTTTCATTAATGTATTTAAATAAAGTGCACACCGTCAAGGTCAAATCGAACATTATGGCTGTAAGTAATTTTCTGTTTTAGATTGAAATGCGGATTCACCATAAACCTATTTGAGTGGGAGATCTTCAGCCAGCAGATATACATATAAAACAAAAATGTATTGAGGGTCCCCACAGTTGTGGAAAATCTTGGAAAAAAGTCATTCTAGAGAGTCATGGAAAAAGTTACGGAAAATTGGGAAAAATAAGGTATCCTGGAACCCTTTTGCCGGAGGAAAAAAATCATAGACGGGTTATTTTTGATCGATCACTTTTGATGCTATAATGGAAAAAGGATAAATTTACAGATTATCCTATGTTGGTGTGTATGTGTTGTAGTAACGGCTACTGTAGTCTTACATTTCATAATATCAAACAACTTTCCTCTGCAAAATGGTGTTAAATGTCCTAGAAGTGGTCATATTTTAGTCATAGAAAGTCCAGGAAAAGTCCTGGGATTTTGTGTTTAGGTTTCTAAGGACCCCGTTGACATCAGTTTCTCTTTGTTCAATCCAGTGGCAAATATGTCATCAATGCACTCCGCAAGAAGCTGTTTGACAAAAATGCGAGAGTGACGCTGTATGCCTTGCAGGTGAGTAAACCAGTTGTACAGATGTCTGCTGGTTAGTATTAGTTACATGTCAGTTGTTAGTCTTGGTTTGAAAACCTTCCAGTTGTTCCACAACACAAACCATCACACGTACTGTACTGTACACACATACCTGTGCATGTACATGTACAGGGCACTATCACATCACAAATCATTCTCACAGGAAGGCCTTGGATATTTTGTAAGGTGTTTGGCGGCAACAAATATAGTAATAAAGGTAGGATATGCATTATTTATATCACGTGACTGATGATCGGCGGAAGTTTACACAAATAACTTTCAACATGCTTTGTGTTCACGAACTACCTTTTCTTATTTAAACATTGGCCAACATCATGGTGAACATGTTTTTATGGATGTTCATAGCTAAGCACTCACCAGATATCCTTCTGTAGCCCGGGCAGCACCCAAAACGTTGCCATGATCTCATATAACCAAAGAAATGAAGCTATTTTCAATTTTTGCCATGTTGCACCACAGTATGGTCATGATGTATGATGTCCCTGCTGGTTGTAGCACTGTGAATTTGGTCTATTTTTCCCAAACCTGGAAATTTATAGGGCAAATGATCTATGAATAGCTGAATATGAAAAGTTGTTATAAAAATTATCTGTATCTTAAAGGCATGTTACAACCACCTAAAAACTGCATTTTCTGCGCAAATGTTCGGACCTTGAGATCAGGACGCCACTTGTTTTCAATCCTTAGTCAAATGACATCATGAACTTTTAATGCATTATAAGGCTCAAACAAAGCTGTTGATTGGCTCCCTCCGAAAGTCCAGGGAAAACAATGAAAAACATAAGAAATGAAAACAAATTATCCAAGACCATCCTGCAATAATGATTCTTGTGGTGAAAGCGCCCTCTAACGGTGCACGTGTGTGGTTTGTGTTGCAGAATAACTTCTGGAAGGTCTTGGAACCAAGACTAGTCAGTTGTTAGAGACCATCTAGGGAACATCTGGCAAGTAAAGCAGGTTTTACTGGACAAAACTAGAATGTTAGAGAAAGTAAAATGTTGGACCACAAGATATATATATCAAGATATACAGTGTATATCTTGTCACAAGTCATATGGCAGCTTCATACTAAAAAACAGTTCCTTTCATTGTGGTGAAACCTATAGACAGTATTCCATGAATGAGCATTCTCTTGGGAACAAGAAATGTTACTGCCTTTTGAGACATTGGCATTGTCTGTCTATAAACATTCAATAGAAAGCACCAACATATTTGATCTCCTAACAGGAAGTTCCAACTCTATGTTTTTCAGTGACTGGCATTAATAACTTTTGTTTGTTACCATGTAAAATGTCTACACTTTGACTTGATTGTTTTTTCAGCATTTCTGTCCAGTAAAGATGTAGCTCATTTAATCTGCCATAGGTGCTTGACTAAAGTACTGGCTAACATTTAAACATTGTCTATAAGTTTTGCTAAACGTTTACTCGCTCTACGTCATTGTGTGGTTGCAGGTTCTGGAGTCATGCGTGAAGAACTGTGGGTCCACAATTCACGAGGAGATCGCTTGCAAGCAGTTCATGGATGACATGAAAGAACTAAGTAGGGTGAGTCCCTTCATAACAATTCCCAACAACAAAATGAGAACAGGGTTCGTACCTCGAACCGCCAATGTTGCTTTTATGAGCAATCCATGCCATCACTTGAACAATGACCATTGCTTTGCATAACTTACATCCTGTGTGTTTACTGGCATCTTTATACAGCTTTAGACAGCTGTTTTGGCAAAAGTGATACAACTTCCTACTTGATCATTATCCATCATAAACATACGTAACTAATCTGAAGTATTTCATCCCTAATCCTTACCATTCTACTGTGTGTAATAAACTTGAGTCTCCCCTTTTCTATCATATGCCAACATTTTAGATATGAGCCACGCATTCTACTCACTGTACTAATGTACAAACCTAGGAATTTTCTAACAGTTGACTTCAATGCTGTCAGTGGCTTATCTTGAGCTCCACATTAAGTTAGGGACTTTTTTGTTGATTTGTTAGGAAGCCAGTGAAAATTCTCCAAACCACAGCCTCATAGTAGAAAGTGGGATTTCCGTCGCAGCAAATGGAGCTGTTTGAATTTAATTATTCACAAAACTGAAGTTTGAGGCTGGAATACAGATGAAACCAAGATCTGGAAAAACTCCCTCTGTCAGGTTTTCTGCAGTACAGTACGGTCTACAATCCATGCATGCTGCCCTTGCTGCCAATTTACATTATATTGGCCCAGACACATTTCATCCAGGTTATGCTACATCTTTTTATTGACAGTCCAGTAATGATGGAGTGAAGAACAAGGCACTGGAGATGATCCAGGCTTGGGCCCATGCTTTCCGTAATGAGTCAGGCCTCAAGATTGTGGTAGACACCTTTAACCAACTGAAGGGAGAAGGTAGGATACCAGACTTTTTTCAGACTGAAATTCATATGGTTTAATGTTAGTACTGTGTTTTGTTCATCAGCATAATCTTCTGAACACTGTAAATACAGTCGACTCTCATTATTATGAAATCCGCTGGACCACGTAGAAACATTTGTTGTATCCGAAATTTGTTGTAGGTGAAACGCAGTGCAATGGCTTCGGTACATTGTTGTACATGAACAGTGCCATGTACAATGCATATGCACATGTATGCCTGTACATGCATGTGCATACATGTGAACGCGTTATTGATGTTATATAAAAAAGATCTCTTGGTTATAATTAATCAGATACATGTGAAAGTATCGATCCAGGGATTTTTAAAAGGCTTTTGATTGCCATGGATGACAACAAAGCTAAACGGCATGTACATGTAGGCCTGTGTGCCTGCAAGAATGCGAAGACTTATCAACTGGAGTCCACTCCATGTAAGTAGTCTTTCCAACACAAATTGTGTCGTGGAGAGACATTTTTATTTACTTTTCTGTCTGTCTTATGATTTTCGACACTAGCTGCATGACATGATTTATTGATAGAGTTCACTCGCCCCCCGCGTGGCACGGCTGTCCATGTGTGAGATGGTCGCTGAAGAAGCATGATGTCATGAAGGAATATTGCAGTTGGATAGTTGCGTCTTGCAAATGTAAGCGCACAGTCTCATTGCCGGGTACGCTAGATCTTTTCGCAGCAATATGAATAATTTAGTGTTGGGCGATTAGTTGGGCTCTTGAGATGTGACAGTAGTCAAGTGAAGTTATTTGGGGGTATTTTTAACGGAATTGGGAAGGGAATTTTGTGGGGGGCATTTGTGTAATCAGTGTAAAAAATCATTGAATTTTTAATCATGCACTGTGCTTGTTATGATGACAGGAAACTGGCAAATGATGTCTGTATATCACATTGTAAGCATGCGTGACGCATGTGGAGGGGCAGAAAATAAGCCTCGTACTGCAGCTGGAAATTTTGTGGAAACACGCTCGTTTTGAGTACAAGTAGGACATCTTCAAATTAAATTTGTGAACGCAGAAAACACAAACATAGACATGAGATCAGTTCTTGTGAATGAACCTGCTGAAAAATTTGTGACAGCAGTGTTTGTACGACTTGCAACTGTCGTATATGATGTACATGGACATGTATTGGAACTTTGGCGACCCTTTTTGGTAGGAACTGTACATTGACTGGTTGCTGCATTTCCCTTATGCCTTCTTTGGCAACAGTTAGGCCCAGCAGGAAACAGTGTGATACACTGCGCACTTGTTTTAACCACCGCAATTTGCAAACGTTCATTATAAATGGGTCGTCAACGCTGGTTTTTCTGGCAATGGAGTCATGAAAACCATTCGTTGTAACAGGAATTTCATACAATGCAATTTTGCTGTTAACAGATTTTTACCCCATAGAGATGTGCACGTTTTTGCCGGGACCACAGATTTGTGTTTGTTATAACTGGAATTTCGTAATAACGAGAGTTGACTGTACTATCTAAAAGGTGTAAAAAGACATGCCAAGTTTGCATAGGTTGAACTCTAACCCATGGCTCCTTGCTCACTTTGTCAAAACCAGAGTTGTACTCAAGTCCATCACAAGTTATTCAGTCTTCAGCCAAGTACCAAGGTATCCAAGTGAACTGTGACAAATGCATTCCATTGTCATTGTTCTTACTTTGGAATGGTCTTGTGAAAGGACTTCTGACTGGGGTTTTATTGGGACTTTTTAATGGCCATCACTACAACTATGATCAAAAACGGCCTAAAAAGTAGACTGTATAAAGGGAAATTCTTCCTTTTGTGTTTTTTCAAATCTGCATGACTGAACTGATTCTGTCGCTGTTTTCTCCCTTAGGTAATACCTTTCCTCCATTGAGAGAGAGTGATGCTATGTTCATGGCAGAAAAGGTAACCACCTACAAAATTGGCATTGTTTCATTACAGAACTTTTTTTGTCTAGTGCAGTACAATACTGCCATGCTGAACACTGCTATACTGAATGATTGGGTATACCAAACATGCCTTGGCTCCCATATTTTCTGTGTACATTTATTGAACTCTAAAAAGTTTCTTTAAGTATCAGAAACGTGACCCAGTACATTGTAATCAGGAATAAGTCGTTTTACGTAATGGCCGAGAAAAGTGGGAATGTGGGTAAGTGTTGGAACAAATCAGTATGACGGTTTCTGTATATTGGGGAAGTGTGTGTATGAAAGGCTACCATCAACACACTTGTAATGTGTACCATTTGAAAGCTTATGAAATTCTCTTTCTGACCATGTACATATCTCAAATAGTCAGTTGATGTGCCGAGTCCCATATTTAGTATTAGTGTTAATGACTTTAAATTTGAGTAAGATCTCACTTGAGAAGGAGTAGTGATCAACATGTGGCATGGTCCATAAAAAATAGCATTCATGGGTATTTGCTTATGTGGGCGTGCACAGGTGCCCACATGGACTGGCCACTGAGTACATGTATGCAACATGGGTCACTCTGGTGAGGAAAATCTTGCTTTTTAAACAAAGGCAAGGATTTGCATCTCATGTTGCTGACTACTTCAATCATGCACCAGTGGCTCCATTACCATAGAGTGGTTTCCGGGCCCATCTGTTATGGTTCCAATTGGGCAGCAGGAACCAGTGTAACGGTACTGCATATCACATCGCCACGATTTCTAAGTGAGTGCTCATGGAAACTCATTGGAAACTTGATTTTTACTTCATATTTTGAAAACAACCATGCATTAAAGAAAGTAATCATGCATTAAAGAAAATGCATGAATTTCAGTGGTATTCATTTCTAACTTGATTATCTTCATAGGAAACATTGGCCCAAAATCCTCCTGTAGAAACATGTGTGAGGCAGGCCACCACACAGGTGAATAGGCTGAAGCCTGGAGTAGGTGTATCGGCCAATGAATGTTGCGCTACCAAACAAAAGCTATATTAAGTGTTTTGTGTGGATCCAGTTTTGTCAATAATAGTGGCATTGCACTGTTTTTGCTGAAATTCATATCTCAGTGAACTGAAATAGGACTGTACAGTTGTTTTTGTCACCCAGGGCTCTCGCATCATGACTGGATTTGTGATTGGCTTGTGATTGGATTTGTGCGAGACTTGAACCCAGCACTGTGCTGTTTTTTCCAATGAAATCAAACTCGCACGTAGTTTTCTTAACTTACATGCACTAGTTCACTTAAGAGGGTTGCAATTATATTTAATTGTCAATTAGGATTACTCTACATTGGGCCAAGACTTCTTCTTAAAGTAAATTGTTGGTTTCCTTTTTGTCCTGTAGGCCCCAGAATGGGTGGATGGTGACAAGTGCCACACCTGTCGCTCTGAATTTGGCGTGGTAGTGAGAAAGGTAAGACTGTACATTCACTAAACAGAGATTCCACTTTGCCAATTTTTAATCAGAAATCTGACTTTTTGGTATTTTTCTCCCCAAATCTGATTTTTTTTTACATTTCCCCCTGCAATGTTTTCAACATTGACAAACTTAAATAAAGAAGAAAAGACTGGAAGCAAATCCGCATGTATCCTGCACCCCGCGACTGGGTATTTAGTCTTGTGCGCAGTCGTGAGTTGACGCTTACGTTAGTCGTATGGTGTTCCAAAAAAAAGAAGGACAGTGTTGAGTGGTGTCGTCAGTGACTGGAAATACGTTTAAATATTGACCTTTAACGCATGTAAATTGCTTGTCATGGACAGCTCGATGCATGCACATGCGACATGCGCGATGCATGCACATGCGACATGCGCGATGCATGCACATGCGACATGCGCGATGCATGAACGTACACAACGAACGCACATTGTACGTTGGATGATCAACACGTGGATAGGCTTTATGTTCGAGGGCCAACAAAATACAGCATCTAATTGTCAACAGAAACAACGATCTTAATGATATTGAAAGAGATGTCATGGACAAATTTCAGTGGAGATGGCTCGAAGGAAAGGATAACAATGGTGATTTCTTTTCTACTTATGTTAGAAAGCTTCGTTTGCCAGGTAGGCCTAAGCCTACCAACTACTGTCATGACCATAACGATGCATACTTCCCATCGGGCGGAAAGCTTTCGTCATGTTCGTATCTTTTTGAGCAAAAAACAGCAAGCTGGCCTACATGTAGGCTGCAACTCATGACTGTGATTGACCAGCAATGATCAAGAAAGAACGTTTTGTTTTTATAGCCAACTACACGATGAAGATGCACGTTGTGTACATGCACGCAGACCCATGCATTAATACGTATAAAACCGAAACAGTGCGATTTTCCGATTTTTGGCATAGGCTAGTGACATCTCTGACTAAGGTATTTCATAAAAGGCAGTAGAAATCTAACCTTCCAACAGCCAATCTTTTTTCCCCCCATTTTTTTAACCATCTCATGGACAGTAGGGAGCCCCCACTTCTCAGCTGTCCCATGGTTGATCTCTTTTAATCAGACATAATGTTTTCCTATGGTTATCTATAATTCATGCCTTCACCTACATTGTACCATGTGCATTGAGTAGGCTAGCCTGGTTTGTCCAATTTTTATAAAATTGATGTCAAATGGTTGTAAGACATTGAGGCACAATACGAAAAATGTATTGAAATGATACCAGAGTAACATCAAAGGGGGATGGATTCTGTTCTCCCCACTCCACCTCCTGGCTCTTGTAGGGTTAAAGTGGTGATGTCAGATAAAAATGAGATGTAGGGAGGGGGTTCTTAATGTTCACCACCGCAATCAAAGAAAACAATTTGAGCTGCATTTTAAACCGGAGAGGGAGAAAATGGGCCTCTTAATTAGGACAATGTTAGCACTGGACAGTAGTAATTTTCTGTTAAGAGTTATTCTTGATTTCTCTTGTCACCATGATTGAGGAGGTGAGGGAACAACTGAAAGTAAACTGGACTGTTGTACACTGAAATGGATCTCTTGGGCCCTTTTATTGGGGGGTCATGATTAGTAAGGTGATGCATAGGACTTCAACACTTTAACTAAAGCCGACCCGTGCAAATAGTTGTCAGAGTAATGCATATTTTTATGTAACCTTGACAACGCATTCTACCAATTTGTTGCAGCATCACTGCCGTCACTGTGGCCAGCTCTTCTGCAGCAAATGCTCCTCCAAGCAACTGCCCATCCCCAAGTTTGGCATAGAAAAAGCTGTGAGGGTCTGTGACCCATGCTACAGCAAGCTGACGAGGTAGGTGCAGCGCTCAGATAGTTAAGCAGTTAACATAACATGACAAGGATGCAGTTGGCTCTCAGCCCAATTTTTTGGAGCAGGCAAACTGTTTGAAAAGACAACTTGTGCGTCTATGTTGTGATCATATCTCTGAATAGATCACATTTGTGACAATTTCTCCCTTGTCAGTCATCAAGGCCTATGGTTGTCTGTTAGGGCAGACTTGAAGCCCAGAATGACAGAATACACACCCTAACCCTAACTACAGCTGTGCCTGATACCATGAAACTTCACAGCTGTGGTATGGTATGTCTGAAAGAGTTCAATCAATTCAAACCAAGGGAGAGTGCAGTGTGAGAAATCTTATACAACAGGACAAATATCTCTGAGTAAATGTCTTTGATGTGCCCTCTGGAGAAGCATTTTGTTTCCATGGTCCTTGCCATTGTAGTTACAGTGCAGCATTATTTGATGTGTGACCATTTGTGCTATTTCTCTGATAAGCTAGAAATAATATGGTGCAAAGGAGAGTCTAAGTTATTGTTATAACAATATGTGCGATTCACAATAATGCACCTGCAAGAGTTTGCAACGCATTGGCCAATCACAATGTGCACAATCTGTAAACCCTTTCCAAATGCACGTTGGCAGGTGTGCTGTTATGAATTGCCTATATTGGCAGGGCTTTCAGGAATAATTTTAAGCCCATCAGTCAGGTAATAACGCCTTAAAGCAAGTTGACTTTTTTACTTTCATTATTTGAATTGTAGAGTCTCATCTTATTTTGAAATGTTTTCTTTGCTTCAGCCGCACTGAGACAACCTCTGGATCTGGCGGCCATGATTCGGACCTCCCTGCTGAATATCTGAATAGCCCCTTGGCCCAGCAATCCCAGGCACCACCACAGCGCAGCGAGAGAGAGCTGCAAGAGGAAGAGGAGCTTCAGTTAGCCATGGCTCTGTCACTGGACGCTGCTGAAAACAAGCACATTGTACGTTGTGTTAATCTTACATTATCACGTTTTGGAGGCCACGGTGCTTAACCAGGTTTCTTTGCTGCCCTCACAACCATTTAAAATACCATTTCAACTCCGGAGGGCCTTATTTTGTGTGAAACCTGTTGATTCAGGTAACAGCTGTTCATATTAATGCGCGGTCTTCTCATTGCTTGTGTCACATTCATTTGCATGCGCATAGACAAATTTTAAATTAGGGTGATGTACACAAAAACCAGTGCTCACCAGTTTTTTTTTTTATTTTAGTGCAAATAGTTTTCAATTGGATGTGCACAAAACCAGTGGTTTTTATATGCCTATTCAGACAGGTGCATACTACTGATTTTGTGTACATAGGACAGGAACACACCTAAATGTGTATGTTCAGTGGCATTACCACTTCCTTGTCTTTCAGTTTTCACATTTTCCCACCGAGGGTTCAGATATGCAGAGAGGCCATGCAAAAACTTGTGCAAAACTGTCCTTAAAATGTTATGCCTGATGCCGGTTACAAGTATTGGTTTTTTAAAAGCTCAGTTGCAGGACAAGTGATGTTTTTACTCCTGCTTCTCATTGAATTTCAGATTGATAAGGATAAGAGTGCAAGTAGTGGCCACACCTCCTCACCTCCTCCTCCAGTAAGTTGCCCCTCCATGAGCCCTTCTGGGAGGCTACGTTGTAGTATCTAAAGAGTCAGGAGTAAATGATGTCATGCTATGTCTAAATTATACTTGGCTATGGCTGTTGATGACACAGAACTATATGTATATGAGAAATGGACTCAGCTAGTGGCTACCATAAGCACATATTCTTAGCCTTATTAAAATCATTGAAATATGGCCTTACTTTCCGTTGAGGTAAAGTAAGAAGGCACAGTTACAGATCGTGGCTCTGTTTTGTAAACCCGTGATGGAGGAATACGTTATCTGTTCAGGAATTATGTTTGAATAGTTTCTGTTGACTTTATCATATGAAGATGACTGTGGATTGTCTTCATAAACAACACAACACCTTAATTTTCCTCTTAATTTACTTTTTTCACTGCAAACAGCCCAAGAAACGATGTATACATCTTTGCATAATGGTTGTGAAGTAGGTTGTTCGAGATGAACATGTGACACATGAGGCCCTTGTTGCAAATGGAGCTTGCCAGAAGTAGTCAAAGATTGTTTTGAGCCTTTCCTTAGTGCACACTTTTCTGTGAAACCCTCAAAATAGAATGGAAGTATGTGAACGAGTGTGTCTGTGGGAGACTTTGAGACACTAGTGGTGACAGACATACTGGTCCTTTTTCAAGGTATTGCGCATGCTCAGAACTATGCCCGCATGATCAGGACTGGTAAAAAAGACCGGTATGTTTGTCGCCACCAAGCGTCTCAAAGTCTCCCATTAAGCAAAATGTTTGTTTTTGTCCCAATGTAGTCGTCTTCTGCTCCAGTGATGGACCCAGAGGCAGACCCTGAGGTAAGTCATGTAGTTATTAACACCTACCAAAGTTTCCTAGCTGCAACAGTAGCTTGTGGTCTTACCAATCGAAGCTAGTGTTGATAGTCTTTACCAGGGCCCAGGTGAGTGAAATACCCCTTGAGTTTAGCTTGAGTGTCCTTTACAGAGTAATGTTGGGCAAGCCAATCTTGGATCTATTTTGCCCCTTCTAGTTTCTTTCCTATACATTTTTTTCCTTTTCACTGTGAATTATGGGTTTTTATATCAGTGATTGATATGTCCTTTTGTTTGAATTTTGCACCAGGTTGTGAACTACTTTTTATAATTGTTTCCGATGTATTCTTTCATGTATTCTAAAATATGTATGAAGCCTTTGTTACATTGTTTCTATTGTAATTGTCAATTGCCATGCAATTTAGCCACATGACTTGCTACATGTATATGATAAAAATAAACCAATACTATAACAGTTATAATAGTAATAGTGCTTGGTTTGTGTGCAAGTCAGTTCTGTGACTCTTGTTGATTTGCACTTCCAAAACCATTGTCTCGTTTAAGGTTTTTAGAGAAATCTTTAAAAATTGTAAGGTTTTTATTTGTAATCCATTATTTCTGCATTTGTCCAGCTTGCTCGCTACTTAAACCGCTCCTACTGGGAGCAGAAACAGGAGGAGAGTGTCAAAGCCTCGGCCACACCTTCTGCCCCAGCTAACGCCCCTGACCCCACACCAGCCACTGCCCCACCGCTGTCACAGTCAGTTTCAACACAGCCGATGTACGCAACCAGCAAGGTGCAGGAGGTAGGGAACAAGACCTACATGTCTCTGTGGTTGCTTCATTTTCAAAATTTGTAATATTCTGTGTTTTTGATGCTTGCCAAAAACTGGATGCACATGGACTTCAAATGGTAATTATTCCCTAAAAATTGTGCCACAAATTCTACAAGTGTCGCTCGCCTTTTCTGGCGATTCAATTCAGTTCTATTTTCTTTGGATTTCTCCACATGTGTGCAGAGTGAGTAGTGTAGGCTTTATGGTGGGTTTGGAAAGTCACTGGCAAAAATGCCCCAGGAATCAGGGCTAAGTTGAAAAGTCCACCTGCAGCGGACAAAGCTGTCCTTTCAGTCAAATGTCAGTTGAGCAACATTGTCTTTACTGTTATGAATTCTGCCTACGTATTGCAAGCCAGATTGACTGGCTGTGACTTTTCACTCAATTGAGCTTTGTGCTTGCACTGCGAAAGCTCTGAGGCCTGGTGATTGACCTAGACTAGTCACAGTGCACATTGAATAGATGGTCAGACTTTTGAGGACAGTAGAGCAGGAGAAAATCAACAGATTTTTGACTGTCTTTAATTTTTCTATGGCTTTGTAAATAAGCCTTATGCTTGCTTCCCTTTTCAGGTTGCCCAAAACGGTGAGGTACCGGATGACATAGAGTTCCTAAGGACGCTTTCAGCCAACCTGGAGGTCTTTGTTAACCGTATGAAGAGCGACTCATCCCGTGGACGTAGTATCGCCAGCGACACCTCAGTGCAGACCCTGTTCCATACCCTTACCCAGATGCACCCGCAGCTCCTCAGCCTACTCCAGGAAAAGGAAGACAAGCGAGGTACTGTGGGAGACCATGATAGATTCATTTCTTCCATATTGTAACCAGGGTAAAGCCGTCAGTTATAAATTTGTTCTTCCTGGGAACCCTAGGGAGAGGAGAAGACAGTGGAGAAATGTTCAGTTGCACAAATATTCCTAGGAAAAGCCTTGGAATCTAGTAGGGACAGAGACCGAATCCACAGGTCAGCCTAGGTGGGATTCAAACCCATGCCGCCTCGGTAGGAGAGGAAAAAGCCACTCTACCAGCCTGACTCCTTGAAGAGAGTATGCAAACTGCTGTCATTGTCACAATCTGCACTCAAAATAAAATGATTTAACTCCAATTTAAATGTTGGTTACTGACAGTGAGCCTCAGTGTATCTTGATTTCTATGTCTTAGTTTGACCATCATGCTGAAAAATGATATTACAGTGTAGCTCTATTTGGCTCAAGTTCAAGTTTTATTGTCAATACAGCTTATTGTGCCTTGACTCTTCTAGCTTAGTGTGGTCATCAGGCTACACTGAATATGATCATTTTTGTAAATTATGTGTAGGGGTTTATTAAATTACAGAGACATTTTTCAGGAAACATTGTTTTATTGATACGCAGAGCCAGATTACATGTACTTATTCCAGGTGGTAATCACTCCAGTAGCCTTGTACTAATGACTCCTGGTTCGTTTGAAATGCATTTTACAGCCAAGATGGAGAGCCTCCAGGACAAGCTGGCGCAGATCCATGATGCCAGAGAGGCACTCGATGCCTTGCGAGACGACCACCGGGAAAAGAAGAGACGTGAGGCAGAAGAGGCTGAGAGACAACGGCAGATCATGCTGGCTCAGAAACTAGAGATCATGAGGCAAAAGAAACAAGTTAGTTGAATAGGGTCTTGAATAGCCACTACAGATGGCATTGTCATGTAGCGTTTGCCGATTGAAATTGATTGCGAATGGAATTGTAATTCCTGGGCACAACTAGAATCAATTACAGAACTGCTAGAATCACTCAACAATTTGGTGCAAGTTAATCTGTGTTAATCGTGGTCCAATTTGTTTGGTCTTAAACCAGGAATACCTGCAGTTACAACAGCAGCAGGCTCTGCAACGACTGCAGGAACATGAGCGAGAACTGCAGATGCGTCACGAACAGCAAAAACAGCAGCAGCAGATGCGGCAGATCCAGTACACAGCTTACGCTGGCATGCCCCTACACCAGGGTGGCATGATGGCAGCCCCGCCCCAAGGGATGATGCCACAGCAGCAAGGGATAATACCCCCACCCCAGGGGGCTATGATACCACCAGGCCAGTACAGTGTACCCCAACAGGTTAGTGGTTGTCTCTTCCATTTCATGGAGTTAATTTTGAAAGCTTTACATAGAAATGTGTGTCTTCAGTGCTGTTCTCGAACAAAAGTGAAACTGTAATCTATTTTGAAACAAGTTGTTATCAATTGTGCTTTTTTAGACATTCAGCCCGCCCTCTTCAATGCAAGGTTCCCCTGCCCACAGTGGCTACAACCCCCAGCAGCAGACTTACAATGCCCCACCCCCCAACGTGGATCCCCAGGCCACCCACCAGCCACCTTCCAACACCCAGCCTGGGTACACCCAGGCCTACCAACAGCCACCCCAGCAGTCCTACCAACAAGCACCCCCACAGGGTGGGGCCTACCCGATGGGATACCAGCAGCAGCCCCCTTCCACCCAGCCGCACCCCTCCCAGGGCCCACCCAGTGGGACATACTCACCCCTCTCCTCGCTAGACTACCCAGCCCAACCCCCTCAGCAACAACAGCAGCAGCCACCCAACAATAACCCCTACAACATGCAAGGCATGGCATCCTCACTACCCCCCTCCCAGCAGTATGGGGGCCCCCCAACCCAGGGGGGAATGTACCAACAGCAGCCTGGGCCACCCCAGGATATGCAGTATGGAACAAACAAGGGACAGCAGCCCGTCACACAGGCCCAAACACAACCCCAGCAAGACCATCCACAAGAAGCCTCTCTCATATCCTTTGACTAGACCTCCCCATCATGCCAGTGGTGGCAGAAAGGAAAGAAGCAAGCTATATATAGTGCAAGCAATGTTAAGACTAATTGTTATATAAAGTGAAATCTACCCGGAAAGAATACAAACAGCTAAACATCGACATCAGCCATAGAAATTTTCCAATCTAAGCTTGGGATTTGAAACCCGTTTCTAAACTCTTCAGTCAGTTAATGCCATTCAGTGGAATCTTACACTTAAGATCAAGAGTACTCTGAATTTAGTGTTGCCCACATCGTCTTCAATTTACCCTAACTTTGTCATATAATGGTATGTTGGTAATTTAGGGTTTAGTCACATAGGATACATGTTCATTATCATTTGTGTAGTAATGGACAGTATAACGTGCATGTGTTGATTTTTCACCACATCAAAAATTAATACTGCATCTGTCCAAGGGTCACAACTGTAATTATCAATTTATTTGTTTTCAGAAATAAAAGAAACTCTTTTGGGTTCTAGGGATTTCTCAAAGATTGAACCAGATTGTCATCAGTTTCACAATTGGTGAGGCATGTCAAGAGGCGACTTTTGTGCTGTCGTGAGCATTGTGTATATCAATTGATGCACTTCATGTGATATTCTGAGGTTGTGTTCCCATTGCCTGCCATAAATCCTGGTAAATGTTTTAATGAGTACTGGTGAACATTTTAGTGATGTGTCATTTCCAGTGCATTGTAATTGTTTGAACCTGTGGGTAGAAGGTTGTGTAGACACACTGGTACTACACTAATTCATGTATCAGACATACAGTGGGGGACAGTGAAGCAGATGACTTCAACAACTGCATTTCTGTTTACTTTTTTTTTTTTTACTGGGCCAATTTCGCCATTATTTCTTTGTGATTTTAATGCCCCTATTTTGTTCAGGACAGCACAGCACCAAGAAAATACTGAACTTTTTGTGAAAGTTAAATATGGTTCTAAATTCTGCTCTCAAGTGGCATGGTGGGGGAGACCCAACTTCCTTCAGACATTACCCAAAACAGTATTGTGTCCAAAACTGTCATTTACCAGAAAAATTCTTCAGAAATTTCAACACAAAAGATTGTACCCTCTACCAATTGTTTAATTTAGTTGCATTTGTTCAAGTCAATGGAAGACAATTTCAGTGAAATGAAATGCATGTCTTCACAGTCAATTGTATTTTACTCTTCACTTGCATTCTTAAAATCTTTGAAATTGGTATGACAAAGTAATTGTTACCTGTTGAGATGGGTTCCATGGGTTTTGTGTAACCTCAGGGGCAAATTGCACCCAAGGCGTATACATGTGCCCTCCCTGAACAGCATCAAATGTGTGTTAAAGGTTGATGGTTAAACAGCTGACAATTTGTACCATTCAGTAGTGCTACTGTTTTGTGGCACAGCAGAGTATATGCCAAATGTATCAAGCATGTTTACATGGTGAACGCTTAATCTTCGATGTTTTAAACTTATAGTAATTTCTTGAAAAAGTCCTAATTTCTATTTTACATGTATCATTAAATTTAACTTTTAAGTCGCTAGATGTGATAAAGAGAAATAGAGAAGTGTGGCAAATGGGTGTGTAATGTTCCAGAAACAGTAATTAACTTGATATACCTGTCATGTCAGTGTACTCTCTGCTATTATAAATTAAATTGTCTCACCAGAAACTACTTGCTGTGCTTTGACATCAGGCCTGTATTTTTGTTTCTGTCATTTGGATTTTTAAAATTCTTTGGTGTTCAAACTTTTGAAATGTTTGCTGTCATGTCCTGTTTAAATTAACCAGAGGACTTCAATTCAAATGCTCATTCCAAGATTTTTATTCAGCCTGTAGCCACAGAAAATAATTCCACTATTCATGCATGAAGACTATTAGCTAATTTGAAGTATTTTTTTACAATTTAAAATTCTAAAAAGTGAATTCATACTTCAGGCAAACGCCTGGCAATTTTGTGACAAGACAGGAAACAACTGTTCTTCTGTTCAAATAAGTGAGACACACTTAAACTCCAGCCAAAATTCTTGTCCATGAATGGTTCTTGACAGCAAATTCATTTCACATTTCACTCACACAAAGTATAAATCAACTTCAGCACTGTTTGATCATTTCTACTTTTCTTCATATCAACATCACAGGATCAAAACGATGTTAATTTTTTTCCCCGTGTAGATCCATTACAAATACACATGTCAAAGGCACAAAGTGATCATTTATTATTGATCACACCAACACTATTGTTCAGGATTACTTCTCAAATACAAACCATAGTTGACCAAACTCGAGTTACATGCAAACAAATCCAATATGTATAGCGTTCAGAATTTGCAATACACCTAGATTGCACATAGAAAAATATTCAGTGATTTTAAGTTGTTCAAGCAAGAGGATTGTCTTGTCTAAAAGCTTGAGTTTTGACAATTTCTTCCCATATACCCACTTACAAATATGACAAAATAAAACCTTTCCAAGTTAATATGAATACATTTTTACAGTTCTAATAATACTTGAATGCTTTGCAGTATTCCAATGTGTTTAATGATGGTAACAGAAATGCATGAGAAAATAAAACCTCTTATATTCTTGGTCATTTATCTTGTAGAAACTATTAATTAAATTACATTTCCTTATAACATTAAATCCAACTCTGTTTCAAATATATCTTATGAAGTCAGACTCTTGCAAAATACTATGTAGCCAAAGATAGTTATTCTTCATATGTATATCCCAGTATTTCAAACAGAAAAACCTCAAATCTTAAAAGACAATAGAAAAAAATTCTTGGAAAAATAGAAGTAATGTGTGGTTTGAAGCAATGCATGTACAATGTATCAGATCATTCACAGTGTATGGTACAACAGACTTCAAATATCATAAAAAGTAATGCCATTGTAAGCAAATTTCTAAGAATTGCAATTCCTCATTGCAAATATACTATGACTGCTACAACACACAGACGGCCATCCAGACAGCGCGTACCACTAACCTTAATCAGAATATGTCACCTTGATTCTTGTTGCACTAACCAATGGAGCAACAAAACCAGCTGCTGTGGTTGGCTGTACAATCAAATCCAGTGATTTAGGTCGGCTCCCAACGACCTTTGACACCAGCAGGTGGCAGATGCGGAACGTGCGAGCATGTGCCCGGCCGATGAAGACGACATCTGTCTCCTTGACATCACGGGACTGGTTCGGATCACGCTGCACTCCCTGGCAGTAGACGTCAAAGTGCAGTGCTGCAGGGGCATAACGCCAGCGCAGTGTAGCACAGAGGGACCAAAAGGCATCACCCTTGGAGAAGATTGGGAGGGGTGGATGCCAGGACAGGTCAAGGCACTCTAGGTCTGTGACCTGTGTCATCTGGTCTCTCAACATGGCCGGGTCACAAATCTGCAGGAAGTTGTTAGAAAATACAAATCAGAATGTTAAGGGGGCAATTCTGCCTTTGAAATATGCACAATGAGGATGAACATACAATGACACACCCACACACAGATGGACATGGTGGACAAAAGGGCATAGCTACAAAGTAAAATGACAGAAGAGTGACACAGTGAAAATGAAAAACTGCTAGCCACATTGAAATAGTCAGTTAATTCAGCAGTCAAACTGTCACAGATAGCATTTGCAAGTAGCCATAACTATGACATTCTGCCATGACCATCACCACCTAGTGTAACCCCTCACCTCTTTTGTTCCAATCCAACAACCTCTTTCTTCATACTGCTACAGTAGATGAGTTGACTAATTCGGGGGATAACTTTGGTAATGGAGACAATTTGTCCCCCACAACTTGGTCTCAAATTTTTCATCAAAGGAAACTGCACCCTCAGTGTGGAGCCAGCAAGGGCATATACACAAACAATCACTATGAACGTTTGTTAAATACCTTCAATTCACCAAGCCTGAGACTGTAGGATATCTTGCTGCCATCAGCGGCTTTGTGCAAACACATCACTCCAAGTTCCGTCACTTTGGTGTCTGCTGGGAAGGTGTTTTCAGGGAGCAGGTAGTGCCTGGATAGAAAGTTCAATTTCACTGGCAAACATTCTCTCTCTCACTTAATATTTTCTTTGAAAACTTAACATGTATCAAATATTCAGACAGAACAGAATTCAGCATACAATACAATACACATGTAAAACAAAGGCTAAAACAGCAACCACTTAAGCACACATCGCCTTTAGCATACAGTACACATTCAGTTATGTGTTGTTTGCATAGACAAATGAAAGACACATTTACCATTGGTGTTGCAACATTTCATGCTTTTTCACTTTGACAATTTTAAGCAGCAGGACATGTAAACACAGACAGGCAAATTGGCCATTTTCAGTATTCCTTGGGCTTGTATACAAACACGGATGCATCTCTCATGCCCCCTCTTGTATTGGTAATACCTACATGTACATGTTTGTGCCCCATTCTGGTACCAATGGGACTCATGGGGGGAATAAAAACTGAAAAAAAGTAAAAGAGATGAAAAGGGGATCCAAACACCAATTGGCTTGAAGAAATCCCAAACTAATCCCCTTCTACAACTTGTGGTTATTAGTTTTTGTCGTTGATGAATGGTTTGCCCTGCTGGAACTTTGTACCCCCGGAAAAAGTGCCTTCCCTCCCCCCCCCAAAAAAATCCTGCTGACGCCCATGTCTGTAGCTGCATTCAATTTTTGCACACATTTTACAGTTGTCTCCGGAGAAACTGCAGATGGTTCTATCTTTACTCACTTTAGTCTGTGGTGGTAAGTTGCCAATACACGCAAGAAGTGAAGAGTTTTGATCAAGTGTTTAATTTATTGAGAAGTCATAAAAATTAGTTTGGATGGAGGGGCTATCAACCTGTCAATTATCATCTTAACTCATAATTTTTCTCCCAAGTAACTTTCCACCTATATTGACCAGCACAGTACAGGTCCTTCCTGAGTGTAACAGAAACTTTGCTAGGGTCTGATATGAATGGGAGAAGCGAGGGCTACATGACTAATTCAAGGAAGAACTTTGATTTCTAGATCCTGAGAATTCTGTGGGGATTTATAACATTCATCAAAAGAGAGCACTCTAAGCATAATTCTCATTTTCAAAAGGGAACACTCCTGCAAAGATGGTTTTGAAAACCAAACGGCATCACATCAATCATAACACACAGGGACGATAAACCCCTGAAACATGCAGTCCAACGATTCCAGGTTTGAATCCCATCAATTACCTTGTGTTCCATCCACCAGATGTGGTGCCCTGACTGTCCATCCTCAATGCTGCATCCTGCATGGCCTTGTGGCTGCGGCCCACAAGTGGCCCAAATGCCCGGCACTGGTCAGTGATGCCAGACAGCTGGGGCAGTCGTGGATCTAGAAGTTCCGACTCATGAAGACCAAAGGCACTGACGGGCAGCTGACTCTCCTTAGTGGAATCTGATGCAGTGGCAAACATTAGCACTTCATCAGTTGTTAATCACAGTAGATATAGATAAATTAACTACTTGCAGGAACATCTGCTCTACGTAGGAACAAGGGATGGTGTGTTTTTACATGCAAACAAGATCCCTTTAGTGGGAATTCACCATGTGCACAGGTTCCTATATATTTGGCTTACGGTGTGCTGAGCAAGCATGACCAATTTCTGTTGGAATGTGCAGCAGTGTTGTATTTGAGTACTTTTTTCCGATTAGAGAATACAGCTGAGTACTTAGATTTCCGAGTACATGTACATAAAAGTCCAAGTACTTTGCCGAGTACTGGTTTTCAAGTACAAGTACTAGTCCTTCTGAGTACGAGTACTTGTATCTCTGAGTGTGAGTACGAGTACATGTACTTCTAATTCACTAAACAAACTCGCTGCGCCGTGGCATTTGATTCCACTTGAAAAAATTCTCAGTACTCTTTGAAGCCAAACTGTTCAACAGTCAATACAGATGACATGATTGTATGATAGCTATGTACTCATATGACACCAGAGGTTTCAACTTCATAGATTCTTCAAAAGCCGATAGTCAACAATAACCTTGAAAAGCAACGGCAACATGTGCTTACACGTGGCCATGCACATATTAGAAGTACATGAAAATGTACACACATACATAGCATACACTCACCATCGGTTATGCCACGTACCCGTATTGCGTGCACAACATGCATGGTGAAGTCTGCTTTCCAAACTCTTATTCCTATGCCCATGTTTTTCTATATGCTAGATACGTCGTCAGAATTTTCAGGTCTAGGCGCCAGGCTAGCAACATCCAAGTTAATTGAGAGACCATTCCCAGGAATACCCCAGTCTTGGATCCAAGACACCTTTTGTGGTGCTGTGATCCGTCGTTGCAGTGTGTGTAAATGTGTAATGCGATTCACTGTCACCACACCCTTTTTCCAAGTGTACTGGCTGCTTCCTGTAATAGCAATTCTTCTGATGATGGTTCGTGTTGTAGAGTAAACAGAACAGAATACCCAGCGTTTCGCATATGTGATTGGCTGGTAAGCCCACAGACAGTGAATATTATGCCATTGTATGCACAGTTTCCCACATGCTAGTATTAGATCATCTGTTTGTTGGGCCATACCTGATTTTCTTGTATTGTATTTTAATGGCTGTAGTAAGTTAAAGGATTTTATAATCGAGTAGTGTTAATCGAGTACAAGTACCTCAATGATTGAGTAGAATTTGGTTCCAATTATTTTGCAGACTGAGTACATGTACGCTTCTTCGAGTACGAGTCCTTGAAAATGTGAGCACAAGTATGATACGCATACTCTGAAAATAGGGCGTCATTTGCAAAATGCACACCCAAGCTGCAGAATGTGCGTGTGAGTGTGATGCCACCACAGTTACGGTGTCTAATCAGGTAAGTCTATAACCCAAACTAGAAGTGACTCTCAGAACTTATGATGGATAGCAATACCTCCAGTTGTCCACAGCAAAATCTTTTCCTTGTTGCTGCTAAGTCTCAGGTAAATGCAAGAGTCCACACCTTGTGATGGTTTGACAGAATAGGACACAAGCAGTGGGTGGGATACGGTTAGGCTGGTGTAAAACACTCTGCAAAGTAACAAAAAAATCAAAAATATCCAAGTCTGTAAAAACAAATTCTGAACTCTGTGAGAAACTTACCCTTATGCCCTTGTCAACTTGGGATGACAGCTCTTTTACATTCCATAGAGCTGTCTCGTATGTTTCAAAAAGTTAAAGATATCAACAATGATGGAGACAGCGTAAGAGACAGCAAAGAACTATGAAATATCTTTCCTGGTGCAATGCAATTGAGGCCTTTTGCAATTACATTCCCTACACAAATTACGTCTGAAACCACTTGTAAACAATTTGGCTCAGTATGACTACAGAATGCCAATCTGAACCAGATCTTAGGTATATATATAACAGGTTTGCCCTTACCCAACGTATAT